TTACCCAAAGCAATCTATAGATTCAACGCAATCCCCATCAAAATACCAACGGCATACTTCAAAGAATTAGAACAATTACTTCAAAAGTTCATATGGAACCAAAAAAGGCCTCGAATAGCCACAGCAATCTTGAAAAGGAAGAACAAAGTTGGAGGGATCACAATACCAGATTTCAGGTTATACTACAAAGCCACCATAATCAAAACAGCCTGGTACTGGCACAAGAACAGGTATATAGACCAGTGGAACAGAATAGAGAACCCAGAAATGGACCCTAGGCAATATGCTCAATTAATATTTGACAAAGGTGGCAAGAGCATACAGTGGAGTAAGGACAGCCTCTTTAATAAATGGTGCTGGGAAAATTGGACAGCTACTTGCCGAAAAATGAAACTAGACCATCAACTTACACCCTACACCAAAATAAACTCAAAATGGATAAAAGACTTAAATGTAACCCATGAATCCATAAAATCCTAGAGGAGACTGTGGGCAACAAAATCTCAGACATCATACGCAGCAGAATTTTTACTGACACATCACCTAAGGCAATAGAAACAAAGGAGAAAATGAACACATGGGACTACATCAAACTCAAAAGCTTCTGCACAGCGAAAGATACAATCATCAAAACGGAAAGGCTACCCACTGTATGGGAGAGCATAATTGCCAATGATATATCAGATAAGGGGTTAATTTCCAATACATATAGAGTGCTCACACAACTCCACAAAAGGAAGACAAAGAATCCAATTAAAAAATGGGCAGAGGAACTAAATAGACACCTCTCCAAACAGGACATACAAATGGCTAAGAGACATATGAAGAAATGTTCATCATCACTAATCATCAGAGAGATGCAAATCAAAACAACAATGAGGTATCACCTCACACCGGTCAGAATGGCCGCCATCAACAAATCATCAAACAACAAGTGTTGGCGAGGGTGTGGAGAAAAGGGGACTCTAGTACACTGTTGGTGGGAATGCAGACTGGTGCAGCCACTATGGAAAACAATATGGTGTCACCTCAAAAAATTAAAAATTGAACTCCCATTTGACCCAGTGATCCCACTTCTAGGAATATACCCTAAGAAGCCTGAAACACCAATCAGAAAGAATATATGTACCCCCATCTTTGTAGCAGCACTATTTACAATCGCTAAGATCTGGAAACAGCCCAAGTGCCCATCAGTAGACGAATGGATTAAAAAGCTGTGGTACATATACACAATGGAGTACTACGCAGCGGTAAGAAAGAAAGATCTCTTGTCCTTTGAGACTACATGGAGGGACCTGGAAAGTATCATCCTGAGTGAAACAAGCCAAGCAGAGAAAGACAAATTTCATATGATCTCACTGATTTCTGGAATATAATGAACATAACAGTTTGAGGACAATCCCCTAAGGAGTGGGGAGCTGAGAGAGGGATGAACAACAGAATTTATATGCATATAGGCATGAACAGTGGACATGGACAACAATCGGGGGAAGGGGCGGGGAGGGAAGGGGGAGGGGGGAACCACTGGGGGAAAAAAGGAGAATCATTTGTAACAAAAATTATTCAATAAAAAAAAAAAAGCAGTGGTACATATACACAATGGAGTACTATGCAGCTGTAAGAAAGAAAGATCTCTTATCTTTTGAGACGACATGGAGGGACCTGGAAAGTATTATCCTAAGCAAAACAAGCCAAACAGAGAAAGACAAGTATCATATGATCTCACTTATTTGTGGAATATAATGAACATAACAGTCTGAGGAATGGGGTAGTCCCAGAGACGTGGAAGTGGGGTACAGACTAATAATCCCCAGAAGAGGGGGTACGGGGGGAGAGATAAACCACGGAACTTATATGCATGTATGCATGAACAATGGACATGGACAACAAAGCTGGGGACAGGGCAGGGAGGGAGGGGGAGGAGGGAATCGGGGGGGGGGATCATCTGTAACAAAAACAAATAAATTAAATAAATAAAAGCTTTTAAAAGGGAAAAAAAAAAAAAAAAATAAATAAATAAATAAAACGCACCTTGAATATGATTATGTAAGTGAAATAAGCCAGTCAGAGAAAGACAAATAGTATCACATTATCTCAGTTATATGTAGAACCTAATGAACAAAATAAGCTAATGAATAAAATAGAAACAGAGGTAAGGAAACATGGAACAGACTGAAGAATCTGGGAGAAGCCAGGCGCAGGGAGGCAGGAAGAGATTAACCCAAGAACTCATATGCATATATGCACTGCTAATGGGCACTGCCAATAGGGTGGGGAAGGTCTGGGGCAGGGTAGGAATCTGGAGGAGGGGGACAAGGAGGAGAGCGGGCCCATCTGTAACACTCTCAACAATAAAGATAAAAAATGCACCTTGAATATTTAAAAGTTGTCTAAACTATACAATGTCTATTTACAACATGTAATTAACTGAAACTGCTTTGAAATATGTAGACTATTAGTAAAAAAATGACTAGTCAGTCAAGACACAAATATTTTAAAATAAAGCAGTAAAATTTTTTTAAAGTTGAAGAATGCATTATACTTCTATTTGCCTTAACATAAACTTTCCTTATCTAATCTATTTTCATTCAAGTTAAAACTGAAAACCATTACCCTAGTGAGGAAGACTTAAAATGCTAACTATATGATGTACCTGGATGAAACAATTAAAAAGCAGTTAAGAAAAAATAAAAACATGCTGTTTAAAAAAAGAAAATGTGCCTTTAAGGAAAGTTTTGTTTTTCAAGGCAAATTTGAAGTACCCTCTAATAGAAAACTGGTAACAAAAAGTAAAAGCTTCTGTGTCTGAAATTTTAAAATTCAGTTGCCATAAAACAATTAACTATGACCTGGGCCAAAAAAGATAGATTAGGTAGACTCCTCTTTCCAAATGTAACTCTCAAAATACACACACACACACACACACACACACACACACACACACCACACACCAACTCCCCAGAGCAGTTCTTAAAGTCCAAGAGAAAAATCCTATTATTTATCAGTTAAAAAATAAAACAAGATCTGTGACTATAACATTGTAGATGTATGCTACTCTGTCTATTAAAGATTCCATTGTGGTTATAAAATGATTAAATCATAGAAACATATGGAATTACTTTGGTAGCTTGATACAAGTGGTTAAAAGATTCAACCAAAAAGAGAGCTAAGGAAACACCACAGGAAAACATCTTCAAACTTACAATTCTCTTCAAACATATGTAACATTTTATAAATAGCCTTTGCTAAATTGACAATTTAAGTGAGAACCTCTGGGGCAATCTTATTACATTTCTTCGGTCTTCGTTATTAAAGCAATTGTCTGGCCTTGGCACAGACATGGTTCCCACGTGCAAATTCTACCACAGATGATTTTTACATTGGTAATTTAAAACTGAGTAGATGAAATTCCAGATTATGTAAATTAACACGGTCATCCATTAAATTAGATGGCATACTATGTATTATGTAAATTCTTAGTATCACAATTTGGAGAAATACGTATAAAACAGAAAATTTAACTGAGAGACCATTTAAAAAAATAATGTAAAATTTATGTCCTGAGGAAGGCTGAAAACACTTAAATCATTTAGCCAAGGAAAGGAAAGGCTACAAAGAAGAGTGAACGACTGAACCCTGACTTATGGACACTAACTGGGTGTCTTCCAGGCTCTGGAGGCATGGTGGCAAGCTGGAGTAACGCGGTCCCCGCGCTCATGGAACCTGCATCTTGAAGGGGGAGAAAATGATGATAAGAAATCGACAAGCCCCATGAGGGTGAGGATGTCTGTGTTGGTATCCCCAGCACCTACAACAATACCTGGCACATAGTAGGTGCTCAATAAATATTTATTGAATTAATAAAAAAGAAACTTCAGCAAGTGATGAAAATAAAGAAAACAAAACAGAATGAACAGAAAGTAATGGACAAGGATGGGGTGGCAGGTACATATTATTTCAGATCAGAGAATTAGAAGAGGTTCCTCTTAAGAAAATGCTGTTAGAACTTAAGACTTACTAACCAAAGCGAGACTTGCAAAGTTCTGAAAGAAGCGCTTTCCGGGAGGAGGAAGCAAGGGCACTGGCCTGAGGCAGGAGTGGTTTGACAACTAAACATTCAGACTGGTCAGTGTGGGTAAGCCATGGCAGCCACAGCAGAGCCAGATTTTATTCAAATAGTTTGGGCAAAAGATGTTGGTCCCCAACAGGGTCAAAGCAGTGGAAATGAAGAGAGCATGTACCTTCTTGATCTATTTTGGAGGTGAGGTGTAGACTTGATTTGCTGATAGGTTAAATATGTGAAATGAGGCCAAGAGTAGTATTAAAAATGTCTCCTAAGTTTGGTGCTTAAACAACTGGGTGGATAAGGCTACTTACTGAGATCAAAAAATGAGGGGAAGAGGAGGTGTCAGATAAGTAGTGGAGGGAGGGACAACTTTTACAAGTAGCCATATAATTAGTAGTTCGGGTAAGTGGTTGTATATTGCAGTTTGAAGCTAAGAAAATAGATTGAGGTAGAGAGCTATAAGTTTGGAAGTTGTTTCCAGAGATGATGTTTAAAGCATGGAACCAAAGAGTCATCAGGAAGAAAGTGGAGAAAATAATTATTCCATGGAAAAGCAAAGAATTAAAGATAGAGGTTGAAGTGAGGTAAGTTTGATGAGAGTTTAATAAGAGAAAGAACATTCTAGCATTCTAACTAGAGTTGTGCAGAAAGAGACTGGATTGCTCGCATATATTATGGACGATCCACTAAAGGAGGTATTTTAAGAAGCAAGGGCTAGATGATCGATCATCTGGAGGATTACTACTATAGCGATTCTTATAAAGGATGGGAGTTTCCCTCCAGATGGCCTTCAAAGGTACCATTTAAAGGGACTTTCAAGAGTGTATGATTTACCTTCACTTCTGCATATTATTTTGTTACTAAGTAGATTTCAAAGTAAAAAAAAAAAATCAACGGCATATAAAATTATCTACTAGTAGCCATTACACATTACCTGTTTTTGTCAGCAAAAGGTTATCCAAGTGCCTGTCTCCAACTCCAAGTATATATGTAATCACACAATATCCAGCTGCAAAAAGTTAAAGAAAACAACTGTGAAAAACACTTGCAAACCAGGTTACACAGAGCACTGGCTATGAAAGCAATTTGTGCTACTTTAATTTCAATTTGCTTACTGTTTTTGATATCTCACCTGAATTCTCAAATTAAATTTATAAGTTTTGACTCTGTGAAGATTTTATTACTTAAAACTCAAAAGAATTTTCTCAAATTATAAAAACCACTTGATATCAAAAGCAAAATTGGGTTTCAGTTGTACCACTTCTCGTTTCAAAATGGACATGTGTTAAAGATGATAGTGAAAAAGAAGTGTCTACAGAAATACACATAATGAAGTCAACCATCCCACAACCGCTGTCTACAAGGTAACAAAAGTAAATGCAGGGTTAAAAAAAAAACAACAACTTTAGAGAAACAATTTTGAAGTTTCACCAGATAGAAAAAAATGAACTCACTTAAGTGGTAAAGACATTTATGAAATTCACACCATGATCTTCTAAAGTATTAAGGAAGATTACATGACCAGGGTGAGGGACAGTTATTGGCTCTAGCTGTATTCTCTATGTTCTTTTTCTTCTAAGGAGTCTGAAAACTTGGCATGTGTTGAAAATGCTCAAACAAAATCTGAAGAATTATTTTTCCCTTTCTCCCATTAGTAACCTGACAATAAATACAACTTGCAAAAATACATTATGACTAAAACAGTATTTACAAAAAATGTTTATATCAGCCAATATGTAGACAAATGACTAGAACACCTGTTAATAAGATCAATCCTGTCCAAATTCAATGAACACTGAAGTTCATCCGACTCAGGTTCTGAAGGCCAATTCAGAAGTCCAAAAGTGATTTAACTGATGATATAATTATGGTATTAATCTTTAACTATTAAGTAATAATCGGTTAAAATTGATTGAAGCCTAGAGATTTAGCGAGGTACTTTATTTTCATAATTTTAAATCCATCCTTCAAGTGTAAAATCTTAGGCTCCAAGGGTTAAGAGGGTTGTCCAAGGTCAATGGGCTGGGAGTTGAATTTAAGTTTAACTCTGAAATCCTTGCTCATGCCATTTTTGCTCTATATAATTCCTCCTCCCGAAAGTAGCTATTAGCTATTTTGATAGGTACAATACTCCACAAGCTATTACAAAACTGTATATTTTTCAAATAAATAACCATATTCTAAATATAGATAAAATTATATATTATGTATTTCAAAATATATCCATATCTAGACTATGAATGGAAGATCCCATACCATCATTCAAAAATGCTTCTAATCATATCACTAATCTACTAATAATTTTTACTTAACTATAACAAGCCAGTTATAAATGAAATCAGTAATTTTCAAAATATAGTCTATAGTATGACAGGGACTAATCATTTGCCTACACAGTATTCTATCTATGCTTCTTCCTTACAACAAAACAAAACAAGGATTTATGGAGCAAGACTGTGCCTTGGTAAAAAAACCACATTTCCCAGACTCATTTGCATGTATCCATATGCAATGTTCTGGTAATTTCACTAAGTGAGCAGGGTTTTCACATTTTAGTCAATATCTACAGGTTGTATATGAGTGTATAGATTTCAAATAGAATAAGTAAACATTCCTTTATTAAATGGATTTATGATGCTAAAAAAGTTTACAGTACCTAACTGAAAGTCAAGTAAAAGGACAGTTGTTTGGGGGCATGCAAACTATCCTACTGAATAGGTGCTGAGATCAAGGTGTGGTGAACTAGATGGCCGACAATTTTAACCCTCTCACTCAAGGCGGGACCTTTTCCTTGCACAGGCATGCTCTGTGGCTGCTTTGACCAAGAGAATATGACAGAAGTGACCGACCACCAGCTTGTCACTCTGGCCTTCAGAAACCAACACTTTCCACCTCCTGTCTCCTAAAATACTTCCTCTTAGAACCCAGTCCTGAGAAGCCTCGCTGAGAAACAATACAAACTACCTGTCTTGTGAGTGATCTGTCACCTAGTCAAGTCCATGTATGACGTGATTTTTTTCAGATCATAGAAAACACAGACCTGAAGGTCTGAGAAAAACTGGAAAGAAAAAGAAGGAAAGAAGGAAAGAAAGCAGGAAGGGAGGGAGAGGAGAGATAAATACAGCATGAGAGAGCAAGAGAGAGTTAAGTGAAGAAAAACATTTTTTTTTAATATTTCAGTCAGTGTTTTTTAGTCTTTAAATCTAAATACAGTGTATGTAGTCATTTTTATGGGAAACAGAGTCATATGTAACACATATATTCCTTCAGTAAAAATAAGAATTAAAAACATAAAGGATTCTAATAGACATACACACACATTTTCAGTGTTCGCAAATCTCCTAGGAATATATTTTATTTATACTTCTCAGCTAAAAATGTATCAAGTGTAAATTTGGAAATAAGTTGTGGGGTTCAAAATTACTGGGAATACTACTACATAAAGAACACTGTTCAAAAATTTTAAAATGTTGTGAATAACAAATCAACTTATAAACCATAACATAATGTGAAAGTTTAAATATAGTTGTTATATGTCTGGAAAGTCCTCTCTCTTGCTCCCCCCAGCTATGATTGCTCAATATAGGTAGAAATATAGACAAAAACATAAATAAATATTTATATAAAACAGAAATAACATATACCATATAGCATTTGGGGCTCAAATCTAGTGTTAACTCCCTTAAACAATCAAGTTATTGAAAAAAAAAAACTTAAGAAAATGAAAAATAAATCTTTAGAATGCAAGCTTCATGAGGACAGGCATAAATAATTAAAATACAGGAATTAATCCTATGGCATGCTGCTACTTACTTCCAGGAATGGACCATGACTACTAATTTAAAATGCCACGAGAGGCACCCTCATAACACAACACTGTTATTTAGGCTCTTGTTTTATCTAAAGCATACATATTGCTGACTGAGACTTCTTCAGCAGTCTACTTAATTGCAGTTACTCAAACAAATGGAAAATCTAGAGTGAAATTAACAGCCCCCAGGAAGAGATAACTAGTGGCTATAAAATAGTGACTGCGAAGATACATCCTTTAAAGACTAAATACAATTTATACATCATTATTATTATTAATCAAAATTATTAATGACTTCTTTTTTTTTTTTTTTTTATCCTCACCTGAGGACATTTTTCCATTTTTTGTTCAGGTAGAGTGGGAGGGAGAGAGAGGAACAGAGAGAGAGAGAGAGAGAGAAACATCGATATGAAAGGAACACATCGAGTGGCTGCCACCCACACGACCGACCAGGGCCGGGGACAAACTGCAACCGAGGTACATGCCCTTAGCGGGAACCGAACCCGGGTCTCTCCGGACCGCAGGCGGACTCTCTAACCGCTGAGCCAAACCGGCCAGGGCTATTAATGACTTCTTAAGTCAACATGCCACCCACTGGGGATTTGGACCACAACCTGGGCATGGGCCCTGACCGGAAATCAAATAGGTGACCTCTTGGTGCATGGGTCAATGCTCAACCACTGCGCCACAGTGGCTGGGATCAGAGAGCATTTTTGTGCCTCCCCAAAATCCACAGGTTGGAACCCTAATGCCCAAAGTGATGGTACTATTAGAAGGTGGGAGCTTGGGAGGTCTTAGGTAATGGGGTTGGAGCCTCATGAATGGTACTAGTGCTCTCGTGAAAAAGACATCACAGACTCCCAGCCTCTTCCACCACAAGACACACGAAGTCTTCAAACCAACGAAGACCCTCAGTTTACCATGCTGGTGTCTGTGCCTGCAATTCCAGCCTTCAGGACTGTAAGACATACATTTCTGTTGTTTATAAGATGCCTGGTTTCTGGTATTTTGTTATAGCAGCCTGAAGGGACTGAGACAGTATTTTAGCACATTTTAAATGAGTATGAATATGGCAATCTCAGAATGGCCGACCTTCCTTTATTCAATCGTATCAATGGAAAGTAATAGTTCGTAAAACTTACCACAGCTTTTAACATAAGTGTCCATAACCTCAGCACTGATCCCATAGGGCCCATTGTCACTTGGTGCATATTTTCTAAAAAAGTTCTGAAAAGACATTATTTACATGTTAACAAATTCAATATAATCCTTAAACATATTAGGCATTTCAAAACTGTAAATAATGGTTATAGGTGTCTAACTCAAAATTCAGTCAGTAATTACAAAATGTAGATTTTAAGAAGCATATTCTTCAGGAATAAGTCTACTGTTATGCTTACTAACTGTTAAGACCAAAAAAAGAAAACCCAAAACATATATTTGCTGCTACTTCTATAACACAGGGAAAATATAAAATAAAAGATATTAAATTATTGCTGTATCTCCAAACTTAACATATCACTTTGTTTCATCTTTCTCCTGAAAGTGAACAAGAGGTTTTATTTTTTTATATCACACATTCTCCTGAAAATGAACACGAGCTGTTATTTTTTTAAATTACAGTCAGCCCTTGGTATCCACGGGTTTCACAGCCATGAACCAAAAATATTCGGGAAAAATGTTACATGTTGCTAATATGTACTATGTAGTTAGGCATACTATGGTTACATCTGTACTGAACATGTACAGATTTTTTTCCATGTCATTATTCCCTTAGCAACACAGTAGAATAACTATTTACATTGTATTAGGTATTATAAGTAATCTAGAGATGATTTAAAGTATACGAGACAATGCACATAGACTATACACATATATCATGTCATTTTATATAAAAGACTTGAAGCATCCATGGATTTTGGTATGCTAGGGGTTCTGGGACCAATCCCTCAATACTGAGGATACTGTTATCTTTAAAAGCACAGCTAATAAAACATTGTTACCATTAACAAGCTCATTAAAATTACATCCAAATTTTTACATAATTTTTTTTAATTAAAAAAAATTTTTTTCTTTATTGATTTTAGAAGGAGAGGGAAAGATAGAAACATCAATGAGAAAGAACATCGATTGGCTGCCTCCTGCATGCCCCACACTGGGGATTGGGCTTACAACCTGGGCATGTGTCCTGACTGGGAATTGAACCAGCAACTTCTTGATGCATGGGTCAACGCTCAACCATTGAGCCACACCTGACAGGCCAAATTTTTACATAATTATAATGCAAGTGTTAAGAACTCTCAGCATTCAGTAGAAATTGATGGACAGATAAATATGAGAAAGATGGTGACAGAACAAAAGAATCATAGGAGCACAGTAAATACATTAGTGTCCAAAGAGTATGAAAACAACAGGGGAAAACAGTGTATTTAATCTTTTTACCCCACACTACTAACTCGACTATTCCCTTTCATTTCAATGTTAAAGAAAAACACACAGAGTGTATTTTAAAAAATAAGTTTATCCTATGTTTTCAGTTTTTATGAATACCCTGAAGTTTGACACATGATCTATATACCTAGAATATGTAAAGAACTACTATAAATCAATAAAAAAAAGACAACCCAACAGAAAATGAGCAAAAAATGTGAGTAAGTACTTCACAGAAGAAATAAATGGCTTATACATTTATTTTTAAAATGTTCAACCTTGTGAGTAATCAGGGAATGCAAACTAAAACCACAATAAAGTGCAGAAACTTAGAAGTCTGACAATACCAAACTACGCAAAGACATGGAGCCACGAGAAATAAAGAAGTACAACCATTCTAGAAGATAATTTTTTTAAAATAAATGTTTTTTTCTTTATTGATTTTAGAGAGAAAGAGGAAGGGAGGGGTAGAGAGAGATAGAAACATCAATGAGAGAGAACAATGATTGGCCGCCTCCTGCATACCCCCCACTGGGGATCTGGCCCACAACCTGGGCATGTGCCCTGACTGGGAATCGAACTGGCAACCTCTTGGTGCATGAGTCGATGCTCAACCACTGAGCCACTCCGGCCGGGCTAGAAAATAATTTCTAACTATATACTGAAGTTGAAGATGCAAATAACCTATGACTCAGCCTAACTATACACATGGATCAAACCTGAAACCAAGAATCAATACACAAACTGTCATCACTTTACAAAAGCATAATTGTACAGAGCAACACAATAATTGATAACTTTATTGAACGATTGGTTAATTAGTTCCGTTAGAACCTATGTTAAAGTGCTGCATACATTTCATATAATCTCTAGAACAATCCTAGAGCTAGGTACTATTAATTTTTACCCAAATTGTGCAGATGCAAAACCTAAGGCTTAAAGGGTATGTTAGGGAGTTCCCAGACCTCTGATAGATTTCATTTGTTAGAAGGAGTCACAGACTCAACCTATAGTTGTAACCTAAATTAGGTTTACTATAGCAAAAGGCACCCTCTGCCTAGTCAACTATAAAGGGAAAGCAGGTTGTTTGCTATAAATTATATTATTTATACAGTACGGTAATTGTTATCAATTACAAAACAGAGAGAACACACTGAAAGCCAAGTTCCCTGATACCAGCCAAAGGCTGACCTTGCAGTCAATCAGGCTCTTGTAAAGACAGAGCCTTAGCCTGCTACGTCAACTCTTCTGCACAAAGGGTTAAGCAGTCATTCAATGTTAACTGCTAAAAAGCTACATAGCCAAACTTCAACCACAGGGAGTTTGATGTTTTCAATCTGAGTGTTTAACCAGTGCACATAACTACACCCCAAACATAAGAACAGAATAACTACTTGCCCTGCCAAGAAATCAGAGTAATGCTTTTCTGCAAATCTAGACTCCATAGTGAATTACTGGGACACTCTAAATTGAAAAAGACAACAACAAACACACTGTAGCAAATATCCTCTATCAAGCCCCTGGTCAATTATCTTTCATCTCAGGCATATCAGTTATTCTGTGAGAATTACATATGCTTTTCTTACACAGGAAAAAAGAAAAATCATATTTAAAAGATAACACAAACCATAAAAATGTAATAAGAACTAATCTATATATTTTAAATATAAAAAATTTCCAAAGATCCACATGGCTTAGTCCTAGGATCTACTAGCCTTTTCTTGTATTAAAGGAGAGCAAAGAGGTTGGAAGGGGAGGAAAGGAGCCTTAAAAAATAATTGTGCAGCCCTGCCGGTTTGGCTCAGTAGTTAGAGCATTGGCCCAACGACCAAAGAGTCAGGGGTTCGAATCCAGTCAAGGGTGTTGCCTCAGTTGCAGTTTGGTCCTGGACCTGGTCAGGGTCGTGCAGGAGGCAACCAGTCGATGTGTCTCTCTGGTGTCGATGTGTTTCTCTCTCTCCCTCCCTTCCTCCTATACTATCTGAAGAAAAATGGAAAAATATCCTCAGGTGAGTATTTAAAAAAATAAAATAATAATTATAATAATTGTACAAAACATGCATGAGCAAGAATATCACTATAACACTATTCTAAACAAAAATTTGAAATAATCCAAATATCCACTAATGGTTAAGTTAAATATTTCCATACTTTGAAATACAGCCATAAACTTTAAGACATTTTTAATTTATTCACCAATTAATTACTGATCTCCTATTATGTGCCAAGCACTGTTTAAGGATTTGAGCCTCTATATGTCCTAACATGAAAGAATTTCCAACTGTTAGCATTGTTTACTTCTGAGGAAATAAAAAACACGTGAAGGAAAACAGGTGATAAAAGGAGACCTTCCTTTTTAACTTACATACTTTTATAAAGACTGACATCTTTATAACAAGAATATATTCATGAATTCTATAAATCTTTAAATACTATACCTGAATGCTTCCTTCTGTATCAAGAACTTCAGCAACAGGAACTGACTGGATAAACTGCATGAAGCCTACACAGAAATATATGCATTTTCTTGAGCAGAGTTACTAGTTAAGCAATAAAAATAAAGGTTCTACTAAGAACAGCCTTCATTTGCAAATGTATATGCTACATACCTGAATAACTGAACAAGGCCTACAAACATTATTTAGTTTTATACTGGCAGTTACCTCATATGAACTACAAGGAAACTTTTAAAAAATTAGACTAATTTAATCTGTATGATTCTCTAGGCCAATTTCTATTATTGGACACAAGGAACCCAAACATGTAAAAAGGCCAAACTTCTTAAATCTGGCATAAAAATGTCTTCTTTCTGTATTCTTCAATGTTCTTTTTTAACATATCAATTAAATTTTTTCCATTCCACATTTAAAATCACTTTAAGAAATGTAAAATTGTATAATATCTATCACCTAATCCTAAAACTGTATTATGTGCATTAGCTTTTTTAATACTCCATCTTCTGCCCTTTACTGGTAATGACAGAAGAAAGTATAAATCCTTTAAACTAACAAAAAGAAGGGGGAGGAGATAGTATACAGGAGACAAGGAGGAAAAAAATCTGGAAACGACAGGAGTATAAAACAGCAAATACATGAAAAAAATCAAGCTGAGTGAAGGAAAGGATTTCAGGATCATAAACACCCCCAATTTGGCCTTGGTGAGGCTCATATCACAGTTACTGCATGCAAATTAGGAGACTGGATACACTTATAGAATATGAAATGTCTCACTCATTACTATATCATACACACAAAACAGTCTTCATTAATTAACAAGATTTTTATTGTTTTTTCTACTCTGCAGCAAGAACTTTGCCAGGTAAGACAGAGCCCTGACCCTGCCTTCATAGATCACACGAGCTTGCCGCTTTATTGGGATAAAGACTTCAGATGCAAGGGTACTACGAAAGGGAACAGAAAAAGGAGACCTAAATCACAGTAGAGATCAGAGGGCACCTGAACATTTGAGCCACGTGTTGAGGGACAGTGAAAGTTAACGGGTAAAGCTGTGGAGGAAAGAATGTTAGAGCTGGTGAACACGGCATATGGGAAAGCCTTAGGGCCAGAGAGAGTGCACTGGAGAGGGTGCACTGGAGAGGGTGCACTGGAGAGGGTGCACTGGAGCGGGTGCATTGGAGAGGGTGCCCTGGAGAGGGTGCCCTGGAGAGGGTGCACTGGAGAGGGTGCCCTGGAGAGGGTGCCCTGGAGAGGGTGCCCTGGAGAGGGTGCACTGGAGAGGGTGCCCTGGAGAGGGTGCACTGGAGAGAGAGCACTGGAGAGGGTGCACTGGAGCGGGTGCATTGGAGAGGGTGCCCTGGAGAGGGTGCCCTGGAGAGGGTGCACTGGAGAGGGTGCCCTGGAGAGGGTGCACTGGAGAGGGTGCCCTGGAGAGGGTGCCCTGGAGAGGGTGCACTGGAGAGGAGGGAAGGTGGCCGGTACGGCTGCAGCCTTGGAAGCCAGGGGGAGAGCGGCAGAAGACAGGCTTCAGAGACAGGCGCAGGGGCCATGTCACACCCGGCCAGGATGAAGCTGAGGCTTTCTGCCCGTCCCATGAGCAAATGAAAGCTAGTAAATCAACTTAAGCAGGATAGTCAAAGAGCATATTTGCACTTTTAATGAGATCATTCTGAGAGGAATTAAACTATCAAAAAGATTCGGAAGAGCCGAGGGAAGAGCAGGAAACCTAAAAGAGATACTTGTCTCTCTAGGTATCTAAGGGTAACAAGAGTACGGAATTAGTAACAGGAATTAGCCAGCATGCCTAGGGAATCTTTCACCAAACTTCCAGAGGTTACTCAATCTCAAAAAGATGTGGATGCTACAGATCTATGTAAAAAAATCAGTTAATTGGTGGCTTTTATAGGTAGAGAACAATAACAAAGCCACTCTGGTCATAGTAACTCTGAAATGATGATTCAGGACAAAGACTGTCATGGAGAAACTACTGTGAATTATAACCAGTTTTGAATACAAAGAAATACACTCTAAAGGTTTTAGTTTTTCTTCCAAATATGACATTTAACAATTTCAAGGGGAAGGAGAGAGGCAGGCAGGCCAGCCCAACTGTTCGTCAGTGCTACAAATGAGTTCCATCTCTAACATTTGTAATAACTTTCCATTAAAAAAGGACAAGTATATTCCTTGCACATTGAAATAAACAATCACTGAGTAATATAAACTCACCATGTTTCGTACTAGTGGCTAATACTTTATAGGGCGTTAACTTCAAGTCCAGATTTTCTTTCCGTAGTAGCTTTTGATCAAAAGATAAAATATATTAACTAAATGTAAAGACTGTTATGAAACAGTTTTACAGGCAAGTACTATAGCAGTTTATTACAAGATATACAGGAGGTGAACCTAAATTAAGGTTTAACTGAACTTTCATCTAAATAAATGTATTAAGCACTTACTGGATGGTATGTCACATTTTTATCTTATCCTAAATCCCTGTCAGTTTTCAGACGAGATCGGGCGTGTTCAGGGTGGTATGGCCGTAGACCCCTGTCAGTTTTCAATGAGAGGCAGAGTTCCTCCTACTAATTTATGCAGTTGTTTTCTGCTCATGAAGTACTTCAGATTCAGAAAAAAATAAATTAAGAGCAAATATGTCCCTTTAAAATCCAGGGATAGGGATGGGAATTTAAAAAGATCTAGTTGACTAAGAGAAAGGAAATTACTAAGTTCAACAATGAAAAAAGTTAATTGGGAAAAACATTTTTATAAAAAGAAACACATGCAGTTTCATTTTATATTCATCACAAGAGCCATTCTGCAGTGTTCAAAAATAGCCAAATCTGTTCAAGGTCAAGTGGAGACCGCTAAGCTGTCTGTACCTGAATGTGTCAAAGACGTCCTGTGCCCATGGCCAGCACATGTACTGAACCAGGGTTTTCCAAACAAAATCAAGTCCCCACCAACATAAGGTCATGTTCACCTTATCCATGAGTGAAATGATCTGAAGAATAAGTTGATCCTGGCGTAAATCGTCCCCATGCTTAAATATAACCGGATATTTGCCTCCATCTTCTGTCTTGAAGAATAACTGTGCAGGCATAAGGGCACTCTGGAAATAAAAAATATTGTTTTCAAATTAAGGTATGAACATTTACTTTCCACAGAAGAAAATGCTGACATGTAAGATAACCAAACAGGTAGACAGGACCTGAGAAACAAGATGGGCCGGCAGTAAGGTGCATCAGCGTGCCCTGCAGGAAACAGTGATAGAGGACAGCTCCATGGCAGAGGAGCACGCGCTCTGCAGTCAGTCCTGGTTATGGATCCAGGCTCTGCAAGGCATGAGCTGGATGACCTTGCACACATTCTTTAACCTGTCTCCTCACCTGTGCAATAAAGATAACACCTCTTCTGCAGGGTTGCTAAGGCAATCTGAAGCTGGAGAGGGTAAAGAGTCTGGCACCATGCCTGATGAAAGAGATGTTCTGTATGTGCTCACCATGATTACTTATATCGTTAGAGACATACTGGAGTAAATGAGGTGAAACACTACAGCATAAAAATGCACCAGATAAAGAGTTAAGAGCCTAGGCTTCTACCAGGAGGCATGTGACTAACTTTGCAGCTTTGAGATTTATATTGCTCTTTCATAAAATGAAAGGAGATATCAAGTACCTTTACTTTTTATTCTAGAATAACTAGTTTTCCCCAGACTCTTTTCCAAATTAGATAAACTCTTACTTAGTTTAGGTATTTGTTTAAAACCAATGAATAATGTAATTAAATTCTCTTTAGAAACAAAACTTCACATAGAGTAGAACCCTGAGACCACCACTTTGGAAGTAAAAGGTCAGACAACTGTTTGGAGTGATATGCTCCACTGGTTTTGATTACTGAGGAATTCTACAACATGGAAATTTGGAGAAATTTATAATAATCTAAAAAAAAACTGAGTCTGACAAATAAGAAAAACAAGTAACAACCTTAATTTATACAGGTAATTAGAAATAACTAACAGCACAAAAAGTGTCAGCGAGGAATAAAGAAACACATGACAAAGCATTTACAATAAAATTCTAATAACAGACTCAAAGTGGTACGTATATAGTTATTTACTATAAATTCTTTCAACTTTGTTGTATGTTTAAAAACTTTCTTATAAATTTATGGAAGAAAGGGCATAAAACAAGTGCTGGTGAAGATGTGCAGAAAAAGGAACCCTAGTATACTGCTGGTGGGAATGCAGACTGGTGAAACCACAATGGAAAACAGTATGGAACCTCCTCTTAAAAAATTAAAAATGGGCCGGTTTGGCTCAGCAGTTGGAGCGTCGGCCTGCGGTACAGAGAGACCCGGGTTCGGTTCCCACTAAGGGCACATGCCTCAGTTGCAGTTTGTCCCCGGCCCTGGTTGGTCGTGCGGGTGGCAGCCACTCGATGTATCCCTTCACATCGATGTTTCTCTCTCTCTCTCTTCCTCTCTCTCCCTCCCGCTCTATCTGAACAAAAAATGGAAAAATGTCCTCGGGTGAGGATAAAAAAAAAAAAAAATTAAAAATGGAACTGCCATTTGAGCCTGTGATTTCACTTCTAGGAATATATCCTAAGAATCCTGAAACAACAATCAGAAATAATTCTTGCACCCCTATGTTCATAGCAGCGTCATTTACAATAGCTAAGATCTGGAAACAGCCCAAGTGCCCATAGTAGATGAGTGAATAAAAAAGCTGTGGTACATGTACACAGTGGAATACTATGCAGCTGTAAAAAAAGAAGGATCTAGTACCCTTTGAGACAGCATGGAGGGACCTGGAGATTATTATGCAAAGTGAAATAGGACAGTCAAAGAAAGGCAAGTATCACATGATTGCACTTATATGTGAAATCTAATGAACACAATAAACTGACAAATAAAATAGAACCAGAGACATGAAAACATGGAATAGACTGACAAATCTCAGAGGGAAAGGGGGAGTAGGAAGAGGGAAGAGATTAACCAAAGGACTTATATGCATTGCCCATGAACTTCAAATTATTTTAAATTTAGAATATTCTTTTATCACCCCAGGCAAAAATACACTTTATAAATTACCTTGTGCCCTAGTTCTCAAAAGCTCAAGAAGAAATGAACTGGAAGTGATCTTCCTCAAGATAAAAAACAGGCAAGAGGACCTTTATTGTAATTTTCCTTTTAAGATTCAGATCTGATTCAGAAATTAGATTTCACCTGAAATCTAAAGCAAGCAGAAGACCACCGCAGGATAACTAGTACTATTTCCAGTTTCTTAAGGGGTTCACTTCCCATGAAGATTTAGCTTTGGCTCTTTTTTTTTTTTTTAATGTTTTTATTGATATTTTTAGAGAGAGAGAGATAGAAACATCGATGTGAGAGAGAAACATCAATCAGCTGCCTTCTGCACGCCCCCTATGGGGGATTAGCCCACACCCAGGCATGTGCCCTGACCGGAATTCAAACCAGGACCTCTAAGTCCATGGGATGATGCTCAATCCACTGAGCCACACCAGCTAGGCAGTTCTGGCTCTTAAGCTAAGGTCTACAAAATACTCTTAAAATATGCCACCCTGGCCAGTTTGGCTCAGCAGTTAGAGCGTCAGCCCACAGACCAGAGAGTCCTGGGGTAGGTTCCCGCTAAGGGCATGTACTTCAGTTGCAGTTTGTCCCTGGCCCCAGTTGGGGTCGTGTGGGTGGCAACCATTCGATGTGTCTCTCTCACATTGATGTTTCTCTCTCTCTCTCTCCCTCCTGTTCTACCTGAAGATAAATTAAAAAAAAAAAATGTCTTCGAGTGATGATAAAAAAAAAAAGCAAAGCACTGGATCTATAACCCTTTCAGCTCTAAGGAGTTTATAAAGGACAGCAAGAATCCATGGTATCCCCCTAAACTGTGTGCAGAAAACCCAGTGTATGTAAGGTAGGTAACTCTCTAAAGTATACAAGGCATTCATTACACAAAAGTGAATAAGCATTGGTAAGCCAGAACCATTAATCTAAAACTTTAATTCAGAATTTTAAGAATGTTGAAATAGTTTGCCTTTAAACGTATCCTTCTTTTTTTTTTATCCTCACCTGAGGACATTTTTGCATCCATCCTCAGAAAGAACGGGAGGGGGAGAGGGAGGAAGAGAAACATGGACGTGAGAGAGACACATCGAGTGGTTGCCACCCACACGACCCCGACAGGGGCCGGGGACAAACTGCAACGGAGGTACGTGCCCTTGGCGGGAACCAAACCTGGAACTGCCTGGTCTGCGGGCCGATGCTCTAACCGCTGAGCCAAACTGGCCAGGGCTAAATATATCCTTAAAGACCCCTAAACTATTTCTTACTATAATGATGCCCCTTTTTATAAATCTAAGTCATTATTCTACAAGCCCTTTCTTATCTGATGCAAAGTAATATCTCAATACAACTTATGCTCTTCCACCCCCGGAATCACAGAACCTAAAACACCGTGTGTCACAGAGACCTTTCATTTGGTGCCTGGCAGATACGGATGCTTCACCGATCAGCTGGCCCAAGCGGAGAAGACAGCTGCCACCGGCTAGCTGTCTTTAACTATTCAAGTGATGGCTGGTTAAAAGAAAGCCTACTGCTCTTTAGGACTAGACAGAATCACTGTACTACTTACAAATATTAAGGAAAAAGTTAGGAACAGATAGGTTGAGAAATGTTAAAAAGGTTCACTGGGACTCATATCTAACCATGTGAACTTATGAACTGAATGCATAATGTAAGTTTTCCAATTTAACTTTTTTTTTAAAAAAGCTCACATGGAAAAATGCAGTTGTGGTTTTTATTAATAAATAGTTCAAAAAATTAAAGATTAAAAGACAACCCAGCCCTGGCCGGTTTGGCTCAGCGGTTAGAGTGTCGGCACGCAGACCAGAGAGACCCTGGTTTGGTTCTCGATAAGGGTACGTACCTTGGTTGCAATTAGTCCCCGGCCCCAGTTGGGGTCGTGTGGGTGGCAACCACTTGATGTGTCTCTCTCACACTGATGTTTCTCTCTCTCTTCCTCCCTCCCTCTCCCCCTCTATCTGAAGATAAATGCAAAAATGTCTTTGGATGAGGATGAAAAAAACCCCCCAGATATATAAAAATATTTTACACATTTCATACTTAAATGACTATGGGTAATAAAAGATCTTAAATCAAAACACACTCTAAATAAAGGGTACTTTTTTTAGCATTTACTAAATCAGATAAAACTATAGATATTACCTGCACTGTGATAATTTTCAAAGGTAATGCCTCTACTCTGGCTTTAAAGACTAGGTTCTAATCACAGCCATCAAAGCGCCGTCACAATTACCTTGAATAGGGTAGCTGTTTCTGGGATGATTCCTCTTATTTTCACCTGGGGTTCTAAAGGCAAAGGGATGAGTTCCACATCTGACAAGTTCATCTTTTCATTGTCTCCAAGCAATGCCTGCAGTCTCTCATTCTAGGAAAACAAGTCAGAAAGCGTTAATTAGGTTAAAATAAAATGGAAGTAGTTTATAAAACATGGTAAAGGCATAAAAACTGACTCCATTAACTTTAAAATGTCTGCAAAGCACCACAGAGCAGCGTGTGCCAAGCAGCACAGGCGAGGGCGATGTGAGGGCTGACAGCAGCAGCATGCTGGGAAGGGAGCGGCCCTCTGACGGAGAGCTGGACTTTCAGGTGAGGGAACACACTCCTGCTGCTGCAGCTGAGACTCAGGGAGGAATTCAAGCTGGACGTGAAGATCTGAGTTCTGTTTTCAAAGGATTTGTGAAGCCACAAAGAGAAACGAATTCCGCCTGAGGCTTACATTCTGCATCGCCAAGTATCATGGGGGAATTTCATTACGCTGCTCCTGTGCTAGTCTGGGTTAGAAAGTAAACTCAATTCACTCCGAGGAACTGGGACCCTACTTTTTACTGTTCGTTGACTCTGACTGATCAACCTTTCCTAAGATATTACCATTTATGTTCTTCAGCTCGCACACACGTTACATCGGGCCAAGATTTCAAGTCACAGTGAAATCGCTTCCGCAGGGAGCAACACCTTTCATATTTAGACCAAGCCCTTCCATTCAGTTTCAAAAGAACAATCCATTTCCTTTGAATGTCGTGAGAGCCCTGTATTCCCTGAATAGGTGAGCTTGTTCTTTACGGGGGAAACTTGACCTGTCAGTCCCAGCAGCACAGGGCACTTCAACTGCAACACTACTGGAAGGATGTATGCCTCAAGGGAGAGAACTCGGATCAGTGAGATGGAAGTTCAAAAAGTGTCTCAAGGACCACCAAGACGTAAAGTTAAATTCTCTCCCTGTAGTAATACCCAGTTCTCCTTTGCATCATGGACAGTTCGGGTTCAAGTCAACTGAAAACTGGCATGAATGTCTATATATCCCCTACAGAAATCAGTAACTCTACCTAACCAATGTACCATCAGACATATACTAGTGTAACACCCACTAATCTGAATTTCCAGTTATCCTATCATAACCAATTTCTACTTGATATGTTAATAAACAATAAAATAACCAGAAAGCAGGTAATAAGAGATGAGCAAAAAATTCAGGCTCTTTTCCTGCCTCCAAGCCACCATCATCTCTCACCTCAAGTCCTGCAACAGCCTCCTGACCCCGCCTCTTCCCCAACCTTTGCCTCTTACCGTCTCTAATAAAAACAACTAGAGTGCTGCTGCCACTGAGAAAGTCAGAGCATGTACTCTCTGTTCAAACCTCCAGTAGCCTCCACTCTTACCCCATGTGAAGTCCCTACAGGGGAGTATACAGTGCACTTCTCTTCATCCTACTTTCTCCCTCTACCCTGTGAACATTACTCCACGTACATCTCTCCGCTGGCAGTTCTCTTTAAACCAGATCCCGCCTTTGAACCTGACTCAATGGATATGCCCACTATAAGGACACTCCAGCTGTTTCCCTGTTGCCTCTGCCCTTCATCCTCATCTCCAAATACTCTTCCCCAGACTCCTCTTGCTCTAAAAACACGGGGCTGCTTCCTACGCCTCAAACATGTCACTCGTGTTCCCACACAGGGCCCGTGTTCTTGCTGCTCTTCCGGCTGGAACAGTCTTCTCCAGAAATTCATATGGCTTGTTCCCGAACTGCCTCAGGTCTTCGTTCAAATGTCAACTCCTTGGTGCAGCCTTCCCTGACCAGGCTACTGAAAAGTGAAATGATGCCTTCCTACCTGAACCCCGCCCTTCCGAGTCCCCTTTCCTGCTTTTTCTCCACAGCATACAATGTTATATCTGGTATGCTACATACTTTACTGATTTATGTCAACTCCGTAAGGGTAGGGATTTTTATATTCACTGCTGTATCCCTAGAACCTAGAAAGTGCCTGGACAGCCCTGGCCGGTTTGGCTCAGCGGTTAGAGAGTCGGCCTGCAGTCCGGAGAGACCCGGGTTCGGTTCCCGCTAAGGGCACGTACTTCGGTTGCAGTTTGTCCCCGGCCCTGGTTGGTCGTGCGGGTGGCAGCCACTCGATGTGTCCCTTCACATCGATGTTTCTCTCTCTCTCTCCCTTCCTCTCTCCCCCTCCCACTCTATCTGTACAAAAAATGGAAAAATATCCTCGGGTGAGGATAAAAAAAAAAAGAAAAAAAAAAGAAAGTGCCTGGACAGAGAAGGCATGCAATACATTTCTATAGAACAGAAAAATGAATAATAAATATCACCTAAGAATGACAAAGTGGAAACTACTTAACATGCAAAATAAAAGCTTTATTTTTTAAAAACCATCAATGGGATACGCATTTTTTTAAAACTTTTTTCTTTAATGATTTTAGAGAGAGAGGAAGGGAGAGATAGAAACATCGATGAGGGAGAACATCGACTGGCCACTTCTTGCATGCCCCCCACTGGGGATTTGGCCCACGAACTGGACATGTGCCCTGACTGGGAATCGAATAGGCAACCTCTTGGTGCATGGGTCAACGCTCAACCACTGAGCCACACCAGCCAGGCTGGAATATATATTTTTATTAGAATTCAAACATCTACTCAGAGACTTCTAACAAAAGTTTTTCCTAAACTAGAGGCTGAGATAGTAAGAAGAGAGCAACAATATTAACATTTGTTTACTCATTTGACACATAAATATGTGTTTCTCTTCATCCTATTTTCTCCCCCTTACCTTGTGAATGTTATTCTATGTACATATCTCTGCTAGCAATTCTCTTTAGACCTGATATCCTGTCTCTGAACTCCTGACTCAATTTTTCACCTTTCCCTCTCTCCACTGTCCTCTCACAAGCCCAGAGAACAACAGTAACATGTATTGTATTGTTTAACCAAGGTCACTAAGAAACACGTGCCTACTATGGGATTAGGTGAAGAGAAGATACCAAGTGAGTCCTTCATATACGTTAGGCTACTGATTAGGAAAAAGTGATGTATGAAGAACAGATATGCACCTGCCCTCATCAAGCAGAAGCTTCACTTGAGAGAAAGATCAATGTACTAGCCATGCAGATTCAAAGACAGTGCTGCTCCAAATGACTAGTTTCTGCAACCCTGGGAAGTCACTCTGGACCTTCACTGTCACTGGAGGATTCTAATCTAAAGGATCTCTACAGGTCCTTCCCGTGTCAAATGGATTATATTCTAGGATGATAAGATTCTAAAATAAGAGCCAATATAACACTGTAGATGAAAATATGAACTCAGAACGTCTGGGTACAAATCCCAATGCCAACCCTTGCTGAGGACACCAAACAAATTAACTTAACTGCTCTATTTCTACTTTTCCTTACAATTGGGATAATAATAGTACCTAACTTATATGATTGTATCGAGGATTAAATCAATAAATGTAATGTCATAAAACAGAATCCTATACATAATCAGCACTTTTAAGTGTTCCTATCAATAAAATTCGATAAGATTTTCATAAAACTATCAACCCAAAAAGGAAGTACCAAAACTCAGAATTTTATGATACCAAGACATGATTAGTAATGAATAAACAGCAAAGCCCACAGGTTTACCTTTTTCTTACGATTTCCGCTTTCCCGCTGTACGGCCTTCATCAGATGCACCAGCCGATCGACAAACGTCTGCTGTGCAGCCAGCAAAGAACGCATGACTCGGACAGACTTGTCGCCCTGAGGGGTTCAGCGGGAAGGAAAATTAATTCTGTGCAGCATAATGATCAGGGCTTCTTTAATAGCATGGGTGATCTTTATTTATTCTCCTAACAGCTGCAAACTTCAATACAAAGTGTAATGGGAAAAGATTAATTATCTTGATTCAGAGATAATGAGAAACTGGCTATCTTAGCTAAACACCACCAAGTCTTCCACAGTTGAAATATTAACTGAGTCTTTAGGGAATACTAATCTATCAAAAATAGCACCCACACACACACACAACATGTGATAAGAGAATTCATTCACCAAAAACGGATTCACTCATTGATTCAATAAATATCTTGGACGCCTACAATATCTTCAGAAATGTGCTGGGGATATGGCAGAAAGAGTATTGGTAGAATTAAATATCTACCAAAAAAGGGTGAAGTTCTTAAATAGCAACATTTTATATGCTTGCTTAGTAAAATAAAAGTCATAATAACTAAATGCTGTAAAGTCTTGGGTAGTGATCCTCAGTTCATATAATATCATAAAATATATTTTCTTTTCACTTTTTTTTTATCCTCACCTGAGGACTTTTTTTTTTTCTATTTTTTTGTTCAGATAGAGTGGGAGGGAGAGAGAGGAAGAGAGAGAGAGAAACATCGACATGAAAGGGACACATCGAGTGGCTGCCACCCACACGACCAACCAGGGCCGGGGACAAACTGCAACCGAGGTACACGCCCTTAGCAGGAACCGAACCCAGGTCTCTCTGGACCGCAGGCTGACGCTCTAACCACTGAGAAAAACTGGCCAGGGCATAAAATATATTTTCTATTTAATTTTCCAATTACACTGATAAGGGCAGGTTGGGCAAACATTATCATCCTCATTTTGAAGATGAGAAAATTTAAGCTCAGAGGAACTGAGATCTGAAAAAAGGACCGACTGCTTCTTTGCTAATCAGAGACCTCTGAGCTCTGAGAACTACATAAAAAGTTTAGTCTCAATGAGTTCAATAAGAAGTGATCTAAATATTTAACAACATGAAACATCAAACAGAAGATAAAACATGCAATCTTTCGGTAAATCACAGATTCATGTGATTTTCTTTTCATTGCCTGGGCACCCTCTGGTGGCTGAACTGTGACATTGCTTAAGAGTCACATAAACACCAGGGGGAACATGGCTTTACATATCTCTAAAAATTGTTTAAGAAGGAAAAATATGTTACATGGAAAGTATCTGCAATACAACCATTATCTGCAATATAACCATTGCTAGATTTCTGGGAATGTACTCAGCTTTGAAAATACTAATAGTAAACAGAAATGAAAAAGCAAAGCTTTAGGGTGTTTTGTTCCATGTATAGGTTTATTTCATTAAATCAGGGATCAACAAACTTTCTGTAAAGGGCCAAGGAATAAACTCTTTAGGCCCGTGGGTCATACGGGTTCCATTCCAACTATTCAACTGCTATCGTAGTACTAAACTGTCCATAAACAATATGAAAACAAAAAGTGACTAGGTTCCATTAACATTTTACTTAGGGACACAGAAATTTGAATTTCACATAATTTTCCTGTATCACAACAAAATACTCCTCTTCTTTGGACTTCTTTCCACCATTTGAAAATATAAAAAACATTCTTAGCTACGGGACACTCCAAAGCAGGCAATGGGCCAGATCTGGTCCATGCGCTGTCTGACCACCCTACAGTGCACGGTTACCTTCAGCAAGGCTTGGCTGAATCGTCTCATTACGTTCAAGTACATCTCGTGGGTCTTTGGATCTCTCTGCTGAGTATCTTGATCTTCACATTCCACTATAACATACCTTAAAAATATGTTACGTCATTCAAGTGATGTGAAATGAAACTCAGATTCATTTTGTAAATATTTATGCCTTTCCATTAAAAGATTAACTCACATTTGCAAAAATAATTAAATGGGGGCAATGAGATATTTTATCATCACTCTTTCAAAAGTGGAAATACAAGGAAAAATATATACAACCATCCATAAAAGGTTAATTAATAACGGTAATTAAATTGCACAATATCCTAGATTTTCTAAAAAATTTGGCATAAAAAAACAAGCATTTCCCCCTAATATTTTATGAGATACATAGAGCATTAGCATTTTCAGAAATGATCTAAGCTCACACATATATCTACCAAGTAACTCAAGATCAAGAAGATTTTCACAATTTGTTATTCTTTAATATTACTCAAGGCTCTCATTCTGAAAATCAATCTGACGCTATTTCCTTCATTAACATTCTTCTGAGGGATTAATAAAATTTTAAATTGACTTCTTTTCCCATCCAATCTCTTTATTTCTCAAAAATCCATATATAATCTTTAATTTTTCTTTTTTTTTTTTTTTTATCCTCACCTGAGGACATTTTTCCATTTTTTGTTCAGGTAGAGTGGGAGGGAGAGAGAGGAACAGAGAGAGAGAGAAACATCGATGTGAAAGGGACACATCGAGTGGCTGCCACCCGCACAACCGACCAGGGCCAGGGACAAACTGCAACCGAGGTACGCGCCCTTAGCGGGAACCGAACCCGGGTCTCTCAGGACCGCAGGCCGACACTCTAACCGCTGAGCCAAACCGGCCAGGGCTAATCTTTAATTTTTCTATCATACAATTGTGGTTCTAGAGAGTTAAAGAAATTTTAAATATTCTGTTATATCTAAACTGCTTATACTATTACACAATCATATAAGCGATGATCTGGATTATATCTTAGAGCTCATCTAACCCAATGCATCTAACTGGTCTTTTTTTGTTTTTTTTAAAGGTATTGTCAACATACTGTATTACATTAGTTTCAGGTGATCATAATGACAATTCTAGTAACCTGTACTGTGCAGTTATTACGATTTTAATGACTATATCCCCTGTGCTGAACACTGCATCCCCACGACTTACTTATTTTATAACTGGACATTTGTAACTCTTAATCCCCATTACCTTTTTTATTAATCCCCCAAATTTCTCTCCCCTCTGGCTATTCATTTGTGTTGACCTTTGGATTCCACATACAAGTGAAATCACATGGTATCTGACTTTTTTCACACAACACAATACCCTCTAAGTCTATCCATGTTGTCACAAATGGCAAGATTTCATTCTTTTTTATGGCTGAGTAACATTCCATTGTATATACAGATATCTATATACACAACTTCTTAATCCATTCATGTCAATGGATACCTAGGCTGCTTCCACATCTTAGCTATTGTAAATAATGCAATGAATATAGTGGTGCATACATCTTTTCTAATTAGTGCTTTTGGTTTCTCTGGATAGATACCCAGAAGAGTAATTGCTGGGTCATATGGTAGTTCTAATTTTAACTTTCTGAGGAACCTCCTCACTGTTTTTCACAGTGGCTATACCCATTTACAATCCCAGCAACAGTGCATAGGAATTCCCATCACAACTTTGTAAACACAGCCACATGTGTGCACACAGATGCATCAAACAAAAAAAGTTTCACATTTTTTCTTTAAAAGACAAATGCTAGACTGTGAGCCTTTAAGTTGGTTTCAGCGGATTGTGATGCATAGTTTGAAAATCACGGATCTAGACCAAGTGGCTTAATTCATCAATAAGATGAAATAAGAACTTAGAAGGGGCGGTGTCTTGCTCACCGTGGTACAGTTAGTCAACTGTAGAGCTAAAATCAGAAAACAGGGCCGTGGGCCCCTAGGGCAGAATTCCTTCTGTTCTACAAAGCTTACTCTCACATGTTTTACCTCCAAAAGCCACAAGAAATTTTCAACCTTGCTAACTGATAGTGTTGCCCAAATCTCAAGTCACAGCCACTTCATTTCCTTTTTACTATTTCTGGGAAAGAGTACATTCAGCACCTAGAAGGCAAATATCATGAAAGCAGACAGCTCATCTGTCTTGTTCACACTGCCTGGCTCATGATATTCAATATACTATTGTTGAATGAATAAGTGATTCTAAAATCATGGATTTAACCATTATCTCAAAGCTGATAATTCTCAAATATAAACATACATTCCTTTTAACACACCTAGGGTTTAATTTCTCTTTTATGATGCGGCGGCTTCACATTCATCCACCCTAATTTCCAAGCAGCAGGCCCCCTTTTCAAGGCACTGCTTGTCATTTCTAACCAAACCTGGGTAAGAATGAAGTTGTCACACTAAATAAGTTATTCTTCTGTCCTATCAAAGGTACTATCAATATTCCAGCATCTAGGCTGAAAATTTTCATATACCAGGGTTTATAAATGCACGTTTTTCCAGAAATCAGCCAGAAACATAAATGTAAGTATCACTTGACTATAAGAAAGGAGTCCCCTTTTCTCCACATCCTCACCAGCACTTGTTGTCTGATGATTTGTTGATGGCAGCCATTCTGGCAGGTGTGAGGTGATACCTCATGATTGTTTTAATTTGCATTTCTCTGATGATTAGTGACATTGAACATTTTTTCATGTCTCTTGGCCATTTTTATGTCCTCTTTGGAGAAGTGTCTATTCAGGTCCTCTGCCCATCTTTTAATTGGATTGTTTATCTTAATTTTTCTGAGTTGTATGAGTATATATTTTGGAAAATAACCCCTTATCTGATGTATCATTGGCAAATATGTTCTCCCATACAGTGGGTCCCCTTTTCATTTTGATGCTGCTTTCTCTTGCTGTATATTAGTTTCAGGTAGCCCCACTTGTTTATTTTCTCCTTCATTTCTCTTGCCCTAGGTGATGTATCAGTGAAAATCCTGCTACATGAGATGTCTGAGATTTTGCTGCCTACATTTTCTTCTAGGATTTTTATGGTTTTATGACTTACATTTAAGTCTTTTATCCATTTTGAGTTTTACTCTTGTGCATGGTATAAGCTGGTGGTCATTTCGTTTTTTTGCTTGTACCTGTCCAATTTTCCCATTTGTCACTGTGGAAAACAGTATGGTGTTTCCTCAAAAAATTAAAACTAGAACTGCCATTTGATCCAGTGATCCCACTTCTAGGAATACATCCTAAGAATCCTAAAACACCAATCAGAAAAAACATATGTTCATAGCAGCACTATTTATAATAACTAAGATCTGGAAACAGCCCACGTGTGTATCAGTAGGTGAGTGGATAAAAACAAAATCTGTGGTACATTTACATAATAGCATACTATGCAGCTATAAAAAAGAAATATGCCTTACCCTTTGAGATAGCAGAGGGACTTGGAGAGTATATTATGCAAAGATAAATAAGCCAGTGAGAGAAAGACAAGTATCACATGATCTCACTTATTTGTGGAAGCTAATGAACAAATTAAACTGACGAACAAATAGATCCAGAGACATGGAAGTAGGGAATAGACTGACAAGCCTCAGAGGGAAGGAGTTGGAGGGGGCACAGAAAAAGATAAACCAAAGAACTTACAAGCATAACCAATGGACACAGACAATAGTGTGGTAAAGGCAGGGGGAAGGGACGGGAGTAGAGAGGAGTGGGTCAATGGAAGGAAAAAAGGAGAAACATCTGTAATACTTCCAACAATAAAAATAAATAAATAGAAATAAACAGAGAATCAAGAGGCACTCTCCAAAAAAAGAAACAAAGAAAGAAAGAGAAGACAGAAGAGATGAGGCTGTAACCAAACCAGAGAACACAAGCTCTCTCTACCTACAACGGTCACTGACGCTTCTGGTTAAATTTGTGGTCTGTACTTCTAGAGTCAAACACAGCTCACATCCCCTCCTCCACCACCTACACTCAAATTGTCATCGACCCCTGAAGATTTTTTCCTATAAAGGCCTCTCACAATGGTTCTGCACTGGCCAGCCCCATCTGGATTCAACTAGCCGATATCTCATACCTGGCCTCTTCCACTCTAAAAAGAAACCCCTTACTGCTCTATATAATCATCCTAAATTTTTCTCCTTTAAACTACTTTTATCACGTCCCACCCTATATTAACAAAAACATCAATGGTTCCCTTTTCCCTACTATTTTAAAATAGTTTCTGGTCCAAACTTAAGGTCAATCCCTTAACCACTCTGTGCTTTGCGTCATGTTGCAATACTGTCCAGAAACACCTTCCAGCTCCACCTTTCCATCTTCTACCCATCCTTCCAACAGAGGGCGATGTGTTCTCTCTTTCAGGAAGTCTTTGCAAGTCCTTCTCTTCCTAGAACAGGCACAGCCTTTCACACAGCTTGAGCTGATAATTTCAGCTTACTTGTCACTATTTCACATTTGATTCCTAGCTCTTTTCAGAGGTTATAAAGACACTGATGCCAGGTGCCATATCTTAACAATATTCAGTATCTGACACACCAATATACACAAAAATGTTTTAAAGGTTGCTAAAACTAAGAGCCTTCTCCTCCCAACTTCCCAGTGTCATGTTTTACTATTATAATAACAGGTGTTCTGGATGTTACCAGAGTTGTATAATCCAGAGTTTTCTGTAAAGTGGGATGAGGAACTGAACCTTGATAGTCTATCAGGTTCCCAACAAGAGTTCTAAATCAGATATTCAAGCATTCTTGAGTCTTGAATAAAGAAAACTTCCCGGAATCACAGGACACATAATTATTTAAGATAAAATTAATTAAAATGAACTAAAAATAATAATTCAGTTTCTCAGTCACACTACCCACATGTCAAGTGCTCAGGGAACATATATGCAGCATTGTAGATGATTTCCATCACTGTAGGAAGTTTTCTTGAATAGCTCTGTACTAGATGAATATGCTAAGAACAATGAAGATAAACTCTTATTTCCTATTTACAGTATTCCAGGATGTCTAGTCATTTCAGGACACCACCTAAGAATGTCAAATAGACAGTAATTGTAAACTATAAAACTGTCAATTTGGCCCTATTCAAATGTAATCCATTCCCTTCTACCCTTTAAAGCCCTTGACTATCTGCATGACTTTAGTAGAGTCATTATATTTTCCTGTATGTTTATGCAGCAAACTCATTTCCAAATGAGAAATACAGATGACTACATTGTGTAGGCTCCTCACTCTGTTAAGGTCCCCTCAACCCCCAAGTAAACACAATGGCCACAGAGATATCATGTGGCTGCGGGTACAGATTGATGCCCATGATAAAGGTCAAGTATCAAACATCTCTCAAAATCAGTTAAGCCAAAGTTCTGCCGCAAAGAGCAAGTCCATGTAAAATGAAAATAGCATTTTCTAAATCTGAAGAACAAATTTAGGTCAAGACTAGAAAATGTAGATTTGACTCTTTTTCTGAATTATCTGTTCAGAGCAGTAAGCCAGATTCTACAAAGCACTCTAAGGTATCCCCTTGAAATCTGTCATCTAGTAGAAAGGCAGACATAACTGAAGGTGTACCCATTGTAAGATGACATCAGTGGGCTACCTGTTTCCTGGCAATTTTGTTTTGTGGGGTAAATAACCTTTATTACCTTGAAAGGTCTTAAAGGTTATAGAAAAACATGTCTAAGCATCCAAAGTTTACTTTCAATTTCAACATACTGGAACAGCTATAAAAATAAAACACTGAAACGATTTATAGATCCTGATGCCCAACAATTTACAGATCGGAGACTATAACTCCCCTCTGTGGCTTAAAAGGTTGACACTATTCATTTTAAAAGGATTGTCTGCACAACAATAGGTCCCTAAGGATTCAGCAATAGCAGAAATCCCATTTAAATCACTGGAAAGGGAACAAATGAAAAAGGAACTTCAAAATGTTCAAAAGGAAATAGAACAATTGATTAAAATTTATATTTTAATACATTTGTTTTAAGAGAGTAAGCTTAGAGTGAGAGGCATTTAAATTGTTACATTTGATTGATACCTTTATATTATTTTGTCCATGTTAAAAAAAAAAGAATGATCATTTCAAAGCAATTATTTGAAATTATTTTCAATATTCTCACATACAACCACAAAAGCAATGTCCACCAAAGTAAAAAATCCACATCAATAACTCCCCCAGCCCTGAGAATTTCTGAATATATAATATGCAGACTGTAAATATGGGAAAAACAATTACTCCTCAGAGAATGAATAGACATAGCACATACTACTGCTTTGATGAATCCAAGATATAGTGGAAAAACACAAATCAAATCAAAGTTTGATGGAATGTTTATAAGACTGGGAGCTGGGGATGCACCTTGTTTATTACCTATGAGGAAAACAAACTGGTTTTTCTGAATAGAAACTGTAGCCTGGTTAGATACTGCTCATCTAATAGGTTTCCTTCCATTTAGCTGCTTTCAAAAGGGAAACTCTTCCTACTTGAAATAAGAAATCAAAGAGTCTATCACAACTAATTTCAGGTTTTACAATAAAATCTGGTCTACAGTGAAATCTAAAGAATACATAATTTTAAAACACCACAAATCAGTATACACGCACAGCTCTTGTAACAGTAACTACTCTAGGCTAAAAATTGTGAGCCAGAAAATATTTTCCATGAGTATTGCAAGAAAATACCTATAAAGAAATTCTTAATAAATTATTTACAAATATATAAAACCTTAATTTTAAAATACCTAAGGAGGTTATAAGTAGTTACTCAAAAACTGTACAACATGGGTCACATTTTTTTTTCTTTATTTCCTTTTAAATATTAGATTTTTCCGTAACACCAGTGAATAGACATGCACTTAAGAATTCGGATTGGAATATGGAGAACATTACCAAGCAAAAGGATATCTTAAAAGAAAATAGCAGCTATTTGGTAATATGAGAATTTCCAAGTATACTTTTCAAAGTAAAAATAGTTTTTAACAACTAGCCAGAACCTGCTGTGGGTATATTTTCAAGGCCATACTGAAATGTACTATGAGGGAAATGTAGTTTTATGAATATTATGTTAAACTGGTAAAGTAAAAGCAAGGAACTATTTTTTCTTCTCACTATTAAGGCCAAGAGGAAAAAAAAAAAAAATCAGAGGATCCAAATGACATATTTAGTTAAGATAACTGATAGAGGTTTTATTCTTTGTAAAGAGAACCACAAAGGCTGAGCCTGAACAATTATTTGTTTATATAAATAATGGACACCTGTGTCTGTAAAGAGCCCTTTAACACAGTTACCTATTTATTGGTTACAGGGGCTGTATCCACAATAACGTTAGGCTCAGAGAGTGGGACAATGAAATTAAGGCTTGATTTGACCTACTAAACTCAGTCTAAAACAAGAGAGTACTTGGTTTAATTTTGTTATGGAAAGCAAAATGCCTCATTATTCTTCAAAATGAATGAGCTTTCAGAATGGATATCTGTTCATTTGTACTGTTTTAAGTAAACACCGTAAACTGAGCAGTAAGATTCGCTCAGAGATGATTTCTGTCGTTAAAACATCTCAAGTGTGTCCAGAAGTTTTCAGTGTCCAGAAGGCTTCAGGCAGGGCTCACCAGCTGGCCCTTCCCTGTGTTTGCTCTGTAAACTGGACACGTCTTCCCTGTCTAGCATTTAATCCCAGGGCTATTTATTTATTGAATCAAAATATTTCCCGTTGTGGCTTAAGTTTCTTGTCCTTTACACTTCACAACCCTGTGGCAGATAAAGGGGACCAGGCTTCATATTAATTATGTCTTAAACAGTCAGTCAGCCTCCCTATGTTTTAGTTTCTCTCTTTCCTTCTCCTCAAGGGACCTATGAGATAGAGGTATTTGTACTACCCTATTTAACTTCACAGGGACACATGTGAAAAGGTCACTAAAAATACTCTGTAAACGGCAAAGTTAGATAAATGATCTAATCAAGTTCAATGACATCATGCCTCTGCCTCAGTTTCCTCATCTATAAAATAAGTAACCAAATTTCCACTTTCCATTTATGCATTTCCAACGTTTTGGTAAGTAATGAAAATACACACTCCTAAGAGGCTGTAAAGTACCATACTTAAACTACTTAGATACCATAAAGGGCTTACAGACATCAAACTGGGAAAACAAAACAAAACATCACCTTACCCAATCTGGTCTTAGATACCGGAAATTTAGGGAAAGGAAGAGAAATAGTTGTGCTAACAAGCATGTCAATGAGCACAGCTGTAAAGGGTACAGCTAAGTATAAATACTGCACTTAGGCCTTTGATGTTTGCTCATACTTTATTTTAAACTGATTTAATGTTTATGATATGGGTAAAAAGTCCTAAAGAGTGATAAGAAAATAAACAGAAAATTATTTTCACATACCAGTATAAATAATTAGCCAGTGTTGAGTTTTTGCAGGCTCTTGATATCAAGAAGGTACAGAGATCTTGCTGAAAGAATGAAAAAAAAAAAAAATATATATATATATATATATTACCATCTTCTATTAATGAGGATTTAAGAGTCTACGCTTACACATCTGTTTTCATCCACACATCTTACGTCACAGATCAGATTTCATGCATCCATCTAACCCTCCATCCCTCCAGCCAATTTTTATTTTAAAATAGGGAATACTATATGAGAGGTAAGGAAGTCATGGTTCATAGTTCCTTGTCCTACTGGAAGCCTAACCTTTAGTGTAGGCGAGAAACGTTAAAGAAACAGTGATAGAAATAATAATTAAAATTGGGAAGTCAACAAAGACAATGAGGATGTGATAATTCAGCAAGACCAAAATGATACTATTTACCAAGGTCCTGAACTTGACTGCTCACTTTTTAAAATGTTTTTATGGAGTTTTAGAAAGATTGGAAGGGAGAAAGAGATAGAAACCGCGATGTGAGAAACATTGATCAGCTGCCTCCTGCACGCCCCCTACTGGGGATCCAGCCAGCAACCCAGGCATGTGCCCTGAGTGGGAGTCAAACTGGTAACCTCCTGGTATATGGGTCGACACTAAACCACTGAGCAACATCAGCCAGGCTAACTGCTGAAATTTTAAAAAGGTCTAATGTGCCTAAAATAGCGTGAACATTAAAGTAAAGGAGGCTGAAAAGGTAGACAATGGCCAGGTGATGCAAGAACTTTAAAGTCACAGTATTGAGTATTAATTTTATTTTCAAAGCAATGTATGCTCAACAAAAGATCTTAAGCAGGAAAGTGAGGTGATCTGATTTCCATTTTATGAAAATAACTTCAGCTGCTGTTCTGAAGGGTACAGACCTGAGATCAGAAGTATAGAATAGTGATTGGTGAAGCTGGAGATAGGTGTAGACAATAATTTTTTAAAACTGTGGAAGTGTAATTAATAGGAATTGCTGATGAAGAGGAAGTAGGAAGGAAAGAATGGAATTGACAGTGACTCACAAATGAACAGATTTAGCAAATGAAGAATGGGCTGGAGCGGGAGGAAAGAAGGTTGTATTCTGACTGTCGGATATACAAGGGAGATCGAGTAGGTTGATCATTTGGAGATACTGATCTAAAACTCAGGTGAGAGAAATGCACTATAAATATAAAGTTGAGTTTACCAGAACAGCCTAGGGCGAGAGTACAAATCGAAAGCAGAAGAGGACCGTGAGGAACACCAGGATGCCAAGCAGTGGAGAGAAGTGCAGACAAAGGAAACAGAAGGAGCGGTAAAGAGGAAAAGAGAAAACAAGGGATGTAAGGTATCACCTAAACCAGGAGAAGAGTTTACTTTTGAGGAAGTCATTTAACTTTGCTGAATACTGCTAAGACATGCACAACCACAAACATGAAAGTCATTTACTACTTTAGTAAGGTAAATTTGAATATAATGATGGGAAGCAAAGGCCAGAATGATATGTTCAAGACTGGGGAGGTGGCTAGAATGGAAGGAGAGAGTCAGTAGGTATAAACAACTCTTCTGAGAAGCTTGACCATGAAGAGAAGTAAAAAAATAAGGTGCAGGTCCAAGGGATGTGGTATCAAGAAAGAACCTTTGCTTTGTTTTTTTCACTTCTGAATTTTTAAGATGAAAGATAAAAATGTATTTGAACATTCCTACCAGAAAAGAAGAGAGATCTCTTTGAAGAGCGTGTTATTTCTTCTGTTTAGGAAAATACAAGGAAAGATAGAAAGCGATTCATGTCTGTAAATCTGGTGATGAGAAATTGGGACTATTGTTATCTTGTGGTTTCTATTTGTTACCATTAAGGATGAGGCAGAACTGTCATCTGGAGATTGGGCGACAGGCATAAACAACAGAGCAGAAAGGGTTTGAAGGAGTCACTGCAGAGCGGGGACAGCAACCCAACCAGAGAAATGTAAGACGGCAGACAGTGCTGAGTGCCCACCTGATGATGGTGATCGTGAATTTATAGTGATACTAATATGCTGCTACGTTCTTTTCTTCAGCAGTATTCAGGCACAGAGAAATTAAGTAATTGACTAGACTTATCAAGAGTTAAGATTTTGCCAGAGGAAGGGAAGGTACTAATAAAAGAATGATTAAAATGATGAAGTATGGGATAACAGCTATGTTCAGAGGAAAGCAAATATTAAAGGGGCTGATGGACAAAGAATAGGGTAGAAATCAATGGATTAGAAGTTCCAGTGCAAAAGGAGCGCTTCAGAAAGTAGGCTAAAGAGTAGTCAGAGGTTGTTATCACAAAGTAGATGTGTCAGTACTTTCAGAGGTGGCAAGAATCTTATCTCCAATTTTAGAGCTAGCACCTGAGCACTACAGTTTAAATGTGCAACATTTAAAAGCCAAGAAAGAAAACTCTTCAATCAGAAAGTCATAATGCAATGAGTCCAAGAATTTAACAGGTAGAATGTAGGCCTCAAGTTTTTCCTTGACTATATGAAAAGGGTACATACTTTTATATAGTGCATATAATTTAAACAGAAAATATGTGTTTAACACTATATTTTTTCATTAAAATTATTTAGAGCATAAACAGAAAATCTTCCATTTAAAACATTTGTGAAACAGAAAGCACATACTGTAAAATTTTAAATTCAACTTGGATGAATATTTAAAAATTTTAAAACTAAAGAGAAGAATATTCTTTAGGCAAAAAATGATCTCATATTGAAGGTTAGAGATATTAAAAAAAGGTGAGTAAAGATACAGGTAAGTGTCTCTAAACAGTTATTGATTGTATACAATAATAATATGGTCTAATTTGGGGGTTAAATAAGGTAGAACTAAATCACTGGATAAAAATTACATACCAGTAAAGAATACTGTTTTGGATAAGGGTAATATTATGCCAGACTTAAAGTTAAGGAAGGAAAGATGTTAAAATATTTATGATAACCAGTAAAAGAACTGATATAGACAATATAACCTCTAAGCTGGGAGTAGAGAAGGAAGATACAGATGAGATTCAGGTAAACACAGGCAAGATAAAAAAGAAAGGAAAAACAGAAAGTACCACATAAGATAGAGAAATAATCCAAACATAGCTCTAATCATAATAAAAACAAATGGGGTAAAAACGCTAGTTAAAAGACAAAACTGTTAAACTTTATTAAAAAAAACCCCACAAAACCTAACTATATGATGTTTTTGAGAGATAAGCCTTAAATATGAGGCCACAAAATAATGAAAGAAATAAAAAGTTCTTTTTTAACCAGTGAACACTACTCAATATAAAGCTCTAATAATATCAGACAAACCAGTCTTTAAGACAAAAAACATAATTAGGTATAAAGAGGGTTACTAAATAGTGTAAAAGATTCAATTTATGTGAATGTACATAATAAAATAACTTCAAAATATTTAAAGCAAAGACCAAAGAAATATAAGAAGAATTTGATCATTTTACCATTATGCTAGGGAGAATTTTACCCTAATTCTTGAACAAATGAAGCACAGAAAAACATCAGGAAGGACACAGAAGATTTCAACAACACAGTGAATAAGCATGCTTTCATGACATATAAACAATGATGTACCCTAAAATTGGGGAAAATGCCATCTTTTCAAGAATCCATAAAATTTATAAAAAATGACCATATTTGGGCAATGAGCTTAACTGATTTCTATCTTCTAACATCTGGCAAACATGCACAGTGGTTTCCCAAAGCTCCAAGAGAAAGGGGAAAAGAAAAGGAGAAGCAAATAAGATACATGGCAGGTGTAGGGAGAGGGCAAGAATGCTGGAATCCGTGGCGACAAGAGAGGGAATTCAGCTTGGCTGGACATCACCTTAATATTCCTAAACACTGCATTGCTTAGGGGTGTCTGAAAGGCGATGCCTGCTGGTACAGTAGTATTACTCTACTTGGGGCAGGGAAAGGAAAGCAGCACTCAAAAGAACACCTACTTCTATGACCTGAACCCTTTAAGGAACTATTCAAATGAGAAAAGGTAAAATAGCTTAATCGTTGAGTGACGACAGACAGGATCATCAGTAAAACAGAAATATCAGGGAAATATAAAAACTATTTTTATTTTTAGCCTAAACATTTTTGAGTGATAGGGAGTGTGTAAACATAACTTTCAGAATCCAATCACTCCCCACAATTTTCAATGTAAACCACAATGGTTCAAGCCACCAGTAAATCTCACATGAATTATTTCAATAACTTCCACGTAACAGTCATGTGATACCAGGGCCTTCAAGGCCCCACATGACTATCTCCTGTCCTTTCTCTAACTCATTCTGCCACCATATTCCCCTCTGCTCACTCCCCAGAGCCAGGTCCACGGCCTCTGTTGTTCTCAAACACATGTAAGCTCTGGTCTGAGGGCCTCTACACATGCTGTTTCCTCTCCCTAAATGCTGTTCCCAGATCAACACATGGTCGTTCCTCACCAGCTTCATCTCCATGAAGATGTTACCTTTCCAGGGTGGCCTTAACTGACCAATCTTTTAAAAATTGCAACTGACTAAACTCACCCCAGCACTATTATCCTTCTCTGATTTACCTTTCTCTACAGAAAATAAATCTTATTTCTTCTACTATACATAAATATTACTGACTGTCATTGGCCCAAACACGAGAATGTAAGCTCCGGGAAGACCCAGATTTGGACTGCTTCATCCCCTAGAAATAGTTTCTGGTACATAAGAAGACCTCAAAAAATATGTGGGAATGAGTGAATTACCGAATCAATTCATCAGTACCTTAGCTTTGAAAGGGCAAAATAACTGGAGCTGAATGGTTCGTTAAAGGGCTCCCCTAAGGATTCTATAATCCTGTAGTTTAAAATTTCTGCTTCAATATTTTGTATTATATCAAAAGGTAAGCAGGCATAAAAACCTTGGTTAACAGTTAATAGTAAAATCAAAAGAGTCATTCCATCAAAAACATTAACTCCTGAGTTTCAACTAAAAATACATTATAAAATCAACTGAGCTCTCTAATACTTTTCAGAGCAGCACCGGTCAAGTATGCCTGTATTACCTCAAAAACCAGTCTACTTATCTAAAAGGATGTAATTGTTCTATGAGTTAAAAACAGCTTCGTAGTATATCAGCCTCAGTATCAAAGTCATACATTTCTACAGTGTAATCACAAAACCAACATTACAGTAATGCTCATGAATATGTTAACAATAAATATTGAGTTTCTTTAATAAAATATTTAAGCCAGTTTATTTTCACACTGCAGATAAATCCATTTATATGCCCAAAGTACCAATAAAATGCCTTGAATTGAAGATTGTCTGGTGCTTTTTGCTGAGAGGAAAAGTCATAAACATGCATCATAAAACAAGTTCTTTAATAAAGTTGTAATATTTGGTTTATTAATCAAAATCATTGTTTTAAAAAACACTATAGGCCCTGGCTGGTGTTGCTTAGTAGTTATTGTCCTATTTAATGAAGGGTTGCGGGTTCGATCCCCAGTCAGGGCACATGTGTGGGGCAATCGATCAATGTTTCTCTCTCTCTCCCCCCCTCTTTCTCCCTCTCCCTTCCTTTCTCTCTAGAATCAATAAAAAATATATCCTTGGGTGAAGGCTTTTGAAAAAGAAAGAAAGAAAAAGGAAGGGAGGGAGGGAGGAATAAAAAAATGAAAAATATATCCTTGGGTGAAGGTTTTTGAAAAAGAAAGAAAGAAAGAAAAAGGAAGGAAGGGAGGGAGGGAGGGAGGGATAAAAAAATGAAAAATATATCCTTGGGTGAAGGTTTTTTGAAAAAGAAAGAAAAAGAGAGGGAGGGGAGGGGAGGGGAGGGGAGGGGAGGGGAGGGGAGGGAGGGAGGGAGGGAGGGAGGGAGGGAGGGAGGGAGGGAGGGAGGAAGGAAGGAAGGAAGGAAGGAAGGAAGGAAGGAAGGAAGGAAGGAAGGAAGGAAGGAAGGAAAAAAATGAAAACCTATACCAGGTAGGTTTTATCTAGTATGATCTCTCCTTAAGGAAACTTGAAAAGCTCTGTACTCACCTCCAGATTTTCACCATCTGAACCTTCTTTTGTTTTAGATGCAGGAGGAGGAGAAGACACTGGAGGAAGAGGGCTGTTTATAATTTGGGAGCTGAAAAAATAATAGGAGATATCACTGATGTGTAAAACATTCTGTCTGGAAGAGCAGATACATATTTTTTTAGCACAGTGCACGTCAACGGTGTCTGGATAACGTGTGGCTTCCTAAAGTGGACTCTGTACCTGTATAACACTAGTCACAGGATGCTCTGGAAAAGAGGCCCCGCAGTCACAGAACATGGGTACAGTGATACCTCGGTTCTCGAACATAATTCGTTCCAGGAGGACGGTCGAGAACCGAATTGTTCGAGAACCGAAGCAATGAAACCCAATAGGAAAGCGTGACTCCACAAAGCGTGACTCTCTCTCTGCACTCACACTGATGACGCGAGCAAGGCGCGCTGGGCCGAATGAACGCCATTCGGCTCAACTCGGCTCATCTCGGAAGTTCGAGTTCCAAATATTTGTTCGGATTCCGAGACAAAAGTTTCTCGAATCTCCTGGTCGAATACCGATTTGGTCGAAAACCGAGGCGTTCGAGAATCGAGGTATCACTGTAGTAGCCTCTTGGAGATGTATGTGCATTTCTGCATGTTGCTAAGTTACAGTTAAGAAGATGAAGAAGAAGAAAAAGCCTGCTACTTTAAACAAGTATTTCAGCATTTTTCAAATGTACTTGGCCACAAGACCACCCTTACTTACTATATATCTTTTTAGAAAGTACACAAATTAGTGGCCAGCGGACCATGATTTCGAAGATAATGGGTTACAATTTATATCCTGTCATAAAATCTTCAGCCAAGCCCTTAAAAGCCATTCTAGGTAGCATGAGGAAGAAGGCAAATAAGCATGACTAGAGACTGAAGGCCTCCAAGGTACAGTGGGAGAAAATGTAAGGGTCTCTCTTCTCTTAAAAATAAAAAAATATAAAGCAGCCTAAGGAAGAAATTTCTGGTTTTTCAGTTCTTCTCCAAATGAAACACAGAAAATAAAAATAGCATTAATATAACCATAAAAAAACCCTCAGAAATATGATCTTAAACCCATGTCATAATTGAAACAATTGGACTGATTCAGATAATCTGATTTCCAGACATTATTCTGTCGTAAATAAACCTTATGACCTTTCACAAAACAACTTGGTATCACTGGGCCTCAAAGTTTTCACCCAAAGGACCCTATTTATCTCAAACTTTAAGATTGCATGGAAAGCACAATGCAGGGCAAAGCAGAAAGAACAAGAATCTGGTGTCAATTCTACCACTTGTAAGTTATGTGCTTTGTACAATTTACTTAACTTCCAGGTAAGTCGCTGATATCTGAATTTGGGATATGAATACATATTCTACCTCAGTGGATTATTGTAACAAAATGTATGTAGACTCTGTCACAGTGCCTGCTACAGAGGTGAGAGTTTTTAATTGTTATTGTTACTGGCTGATTTTAATTCAAATTAAATTCAGTATAACTACAAAAAAATACACTTTTAGTGTACTGAGTACTACATCAGACACTTTTCTAAATGCTTTATGTCTATCAACTCATTTAATCTTTCAATAACCCCTGAAGATCAGTTGCTATTGCTATATCCTCATTTCTAAGATGAGAACCTGGGGCCACACAGAGAATATGTAACTTACACAAGTGTACACATCTAGTAAGTGGTAGTCAAGATTTTAGTTTGACTCCCCTGCGTGCAAACACTGTGAGTGCACATGCCATGTTCACTGGTAAAACTTCAATCTTAGGACCAACTAGGATTTGGCACATAAAGGAGAAATGGAAACGAGAAGACAGTTTGAAAAGGAGGGAAACTATCAGATTTGAAAGTAAGTTTTCCCTAAATATCCATAGCTATCATACCTGTCTATTTCTGTAGAATTTATTCCAGAATTTGACACACTCTCTGACACTGACCCCTGACTGTCCTTCTTGGTAGGTTCTAATCCATTCTTTATATCATCAAAATTTTCATATTTGAGAGCTTGGACCAACTGTAATAGATACATCAATAAATCCTGGAAAACAAAGAAATAAGATAACATTAGAAAAACAAATGCAATATGGTTATAGACATAATTTATTCCTAAATATCAGCTAACAATTCACTTTCTTTACCACTTATCAGGCGTGTTTCCTTTGGCAGATCACTAGGATACCTAACCTTTGGCATGTAACTGGGTCCTCATCCATAAATGGACATAATCATACACGCCTTAGGAATGAAATGTGAGGATTAAACCAATTAATAGAAGAAAGTCACAGAATAGTTCCTGGCACAGAGTAAGTGGCCAGTAAATGCCTTGTTTAAAGTAGTATCCAAAAAAAAAAAAAAGTAAAAAACAAAAACAAAATAAAGAATTGAGATGATTTATGTAAAACTAAGCAAATAAGGCAGGATCCTTCTTACAGCAATAAATCAGGTAACAGCATTTTATATCTAAGATTACATTAAAAACTCCAAAATTTCAAGTTTTCTAAGAATTTCTCTTTCATAACCTTTCCGGATTTTTAAATATTCAGACTTTTTAGGATTTAAAAAAATCCTAACCGAAAAATAAAAATGAAGTTTTTAAATTTTTCTTGAAAGCTTGGTTTTAAAGCACTTGGGTTGCTTCTTAAATAAAAATCCTATAAAACGAATATTTTAATATTAACAGTTGTGGTTAAGCAAAATACTTATTTTCCTGACAACTACCAATAATGACTCAAGGAAAAAGTCCAAAGCCTAAATTTCCCAAACTTTATTGACAATCAATGGGATAACTGGGACTAAAAAGTGTCAACGAAGTAGTTTTACTTTTCTGAGTGTTCTCCTAATGTAAAAAGACTCTTTATGCTTAATGTTTAGGAAAAAAAAATATTTTCTGTCTTACTCTATAAATGTAGTTCTTAGTCCTTCCCAATGACTTTTTAAAGTATTATCATCCAGCCCTGGCCGGTTTGGCTCAGTGGTTAGAGCGCCCGCCTGCGGTCCGGAGAGAGCCGGGTTCGGTTCCCACTAAGGGCACGTACCTCAGTTGCAGTTTGTCCCCGGCCCTGGTTGCTCGTGCGGGTGGCAGCCACTCGATGTGTCCCTTTCACATCGATGTTTCTCTCTCTCTCTCTTCCTCTCTCTCCCTCCCACTCTGTCTGAACAAAGAATGAAAAAATGTCCTCGGATGAGTATTAAAAAAAAAAAAAAAAAGCTAAAGTATTATCATCCAGTTCCAACTGTCACTCACCTACTTAGCCTCTTGGAACTGATAATCAAATAGTTTTGAGACTTTGCAACTGTAGCTCAGTTTCCATCTCTTCCTTTAGTCCACACACCAAGTTAAATCCCCTGCAAGAATTTCATGGTGCCCACTCCTGTTCCTATTTGTAAAATAAACTATAGCATTTGTGATTACTTGCTTTACTCTTCGCCTTTTCCACTATATTACAAACTCCATGAGGACAGAGACCACTTTCCAACGACCTATTTTCCCTTACTTAATACCATAACATACTTTTTCATAATTTTTTTCTAACACTGACATAACCAACTTTCTTATCATTTCCCAAATACTGACAGTAATACACATGATTTCACCACTAAATGACTGTCAGAAAAATATTAAATGAGAGGCTAACTGGCTTATTAATTCTTATTCAAATATATTAATCAATGTCAGTGGTCAGGGAAATCAAGTGACTATCACCACTACAGTACACTGTTGTTTCTAAAAACTTTTTAATTGGAGAAATAAATATCTGATTTTCTATTAATTTACTTGTGATTTATGGTATCTAATAGCTGTAGGTATACTTCCATGCTTTTTTAAGGAAAAAAAAAAAAAGTGATTACATAACAGAAAATTGATTTCTATATTTAATGATGAGTAACCTTTTTGGGAGGTATACTTCAGTTTCACTGCTAGCCTTCATTTCCAAGGCATGCTTAATTTTCCCAATTACATAAAAAGAATCACCACATGAAATCAAAGAAGCAGTTTTGTTATTAAATTCCCCAGGAAGGAAAAATTCAGAAGGAAACTTTCCTCTTTTAAGTCACGCCTCGCCATCTGATTTGTGGGTTATCTGATATTCTATATTCAAACTACACTTTTCGCCCTGGCCGGTTTGGCTCAGCGGTTAGAGCATCAGCCTGCAGTCCCGAGAGACCGGGTTCGGTTCCCGCTAAGGGCACGTACCTTGGTTGCAGTTTGTCCCCGGCCCTGGTCGGTCGTGCGGGTGGCAGCTACTCGATGTGTCCCTTTCACATAGATGTTTCTCTCTCTCTCTTCCTCTCTCTCCCTCCCACTCTACCTGAACAAAAAATGTCCTTGGGTGAGGATAAAAAAACAAAAACAAAAACTTTTCTTCATTTGTATGGAAATGAATTAACTTCAATAGTAAGTACAAAATCTGTTTGCTTATTATATAGTCACATCTTGAAAAATATAAACTTCTCCCATGCATGAAGGACATAAGCATACGAGTAAAACAAAAGGGTTGGGGGAGTGGACCAGTTTTCCATCTCAGATAATTCAGTAAAAATTTCCCAAAAGTTATGAAATATTATCTAGATAATAATCACCATCTTTCTCAAGAACAAGTTAATTCTAATGCTTCAGAGTGCAAATGCAAAGTCCCATGTCAAAATCACTCAATGACTTCTAATTTCTTACTGAATAAAGAGTAACTCTTCACATAAACATTTACAGTTAGAGATATGGGTTCTGACCCTGCCTCATAGACAGCAATATATATTTTTTTATATCTCCCACACACCTGTTAAAATGAAATACTTTCTATTTTCCTGTACTTTTCAATCACCTTGCCTTTGCTCATACTGTTCTCTCCACTTAGAATGTAAACTCATGTCCACTGTGAAAATTTCAGTTTTCTTTCAATGCCTATGTCAAATGTGACTTCCTCCTCAAATTCTACTGTGGAATCTCTCCTTTTAAGCCACAAAGCAATAAGAAATGTCTTAAAATGTCCTAAGTAGATATTAGCAAGTTAAATTCAAAAAGGTACTAAAAGATTGAGCAAGATTTATTTTATAGATGTACAACTAGTATAAACTAGGTTATCTGTAAGCATAGATTTCATATACATATTATATAAAGATGTTTTTCAGATAGTATGATGCTATACATACAAAAAATAGAAACCCACCTAACATCTCTTAGAAGAAGATAAATCACTAAACTGACAAGGTAAAACATAAATATTAAAACAAAACAGTTTCCATTTAACTAACAAAAATTAGACACAAAAGGGGTAAAGTAGCCCATAACAATAACTGTCACAGAATAAATCTAATTTTTAAAAAAATGCATAAACTTTTTATAAAATTGCAGCTTGAATAAAAAAAAAAAATTATGTCTCCAGGAGGGAAGACTTAGTATCATAAAAATATCAATTTTTCCTTAATATAAAAATTTAATGTAATTCCACTTAAGATTTTGGTAGTGCTTCAAGAATATGATACGATTATTCAAAAATTCTTGGGAAGAATAAATGTACAAAAATTATAAAAGTAGATCTACAGGTATTCATAAAGTCTAGAAAAAGTATATTTTTTTACAAATTAAACATGCCCTCGACATCACTTGCCTTGATATTCATTAGTCTGTTTCCAGATTTTACAAATACCAAATAAATATAAGTGTTGATAGTGAGAAAATCTCCAAGACTATATTGTTTAGTCAATAAGGCAAGTTTTTAACAATGTATTTATAGGATATTCATGTTTATGTTAATTTATAAAGAGGTATACATACTGTACATGCGTACATATGCTTACAATTTGCATAGAAAATACACAAAAAAATATATTCCTTCTGGGAAAAGAAAATCGTTGGGAGGAGTGAGGTCCTATATTATTTCTTTCCCAATTAAAAAAACGAAGTAAACTGGGGCAGGGGGATTCCTATTACAGTAAAGAAACAAACACAAATGCTGCTTGCGTCCTGGGATGGTTACGAGAGGTTTCCCAGAGGCGCTGGTATCTGTGCTCTAGCTCAGAGGATGACCAGGAAAAAGACATCTGGGACAATGGAGAAACACACACAAAGGCACGGCTGCGAGAGTGAGACTGTGGCCCATTCAAGACATTAGACTAACTGTCTAAACATAAATCACAGTATTTTTCATCCCAGTTGTCCAATATGTAGATATTTACACAAAATGAATTTTGATGTATTTTTTGAAGCTATGATTACATGATTCCATTATCTTTTGCAATACTAAGACATTTGAACCATAAATACTATACTCCACAGATAACAGCAAAAAGCAAGGGGACATTTTAAACTAATAGGAATGAAAGGTGCAACGTGCATGACTTTACTATGACATTTACATAATATAAATGTGCACTTTCTGCACAAGTGCATGAGCACAGTTTCAAAACTTTGCCCCACATCATTTTTTTCTCATAACTATCAAGTCACATACCTTTTTCTGAATAGGAAACTGAAGTGAGAATATAGTGTTCTCAGACATATATAGGTATATAAATATGAGAAAGAACAAAATTCAGATCTTAATATATATCTAATGAATCAGCAGTAATAGAATTAATGACTGAACTAAGTTCAGAGAAAGATAAATCATGAGCTAACTTACCCACCATACTATTTATGCTGTATCTCTAAAAACCTCAAAAAAACCTAATGATTAATAAATTGAACCATATTTTGCAGTTGAAAATGCATGTAATGTTTCTATCATGCTCCACCTCATAACACAAATTATAAAATGGCCTAGAAATAGCTCAGTATCTACATGAACACTGATAACTTCAGAGAGAAATCGCCTCTAAGCTCGAGGGAACTAAAGCCAGAAAATTGAAAAGAATGATTTACAATTTTCTGTTTAAATTCTGAGCCCACACTGAGGGACTGTGCTGGTTATACCACAGAGGCCTTTATCTAAACTCTATGACTCATGCCAAATATAGACAGAGAATTAATGACTTGAGTAGAATTTCTAATGAATTTCAAAATAAATATTTTGGCATTTCAAATAAACATTGTAATAAACTTTTTACTTGTGATACAGTAAAGACAATTAGGAAGAAGGAGATAATATGTTGGATCACAATACTTAGAACTGCTCTTTGAGAGGACAGTGAGTAACATCCTATTCTGATAAAATCATACAATATCTGAGATTACCCTCAAAGTATATGGTAGCGGTAGGAAATGGGCAGAAGACAGAGGTGTTATAGAGGAAACAAGACTGGCTATGAGTGGGCAGCTGTTAAATATGTGTAAATTAAATGTGAGCATTCACTACACTATTTAGTGTTTAAATTTCCTTATAATTAAATACACACAGAAATATCAACCTTAATAAAAGCTGTGTTTTGCTTCTTGAAATCCAGATACCACTATGAATTCAAAACGATTTGGCAATTTTTTTGTCATTTTTTTTTTAAATATATATACATTTTTTTCCACTGTTGATTTTAGAGCGAGAACATCGATTGGCCACCTCCTGCATGTGCCCCACTGGGGATTGGGCCCACAACTTGGGCATGTGCCCTGACCGGGAATTGAACCGGCGACCTGTTGGTGCATGGGTCAACGCTCAACCACTTAGCCACACCAGCCGATTTAGCAATTTTTAATAAAGGTCTTTGATAATAATTGTTGCTATATACATATCAAGGCTTGAGAAGAGTTATCCCATATCCCAAAAGCACTGCAGACTAGTATAGACTATTAGGTTATGTTTGAGAGCATTACCCTATAAAAATTCATAAGTAAAAAATATTGCTGGATAAGTCTATCTCATTAGGAATTACAAAAATTCAAAATCCAGCAATATTTTGCGTCAACACAGTGTTCCTCCTCCCCTAGTGGCCTTAGAGGTATAAAAATATCTAGCATAGCCCTGGCAGGTTTGGCTCAGCAGTTATTGGCCTGTGGACCAAAGAGTCACAGGATCAATTCCAGTCAAGGGCACATAACTCAGCTGGTCAGGTCATGTGGGACGCAACCAATGGATGTGTCTTTCACACATGGATGTTTCTCCCTCTCTCTCTCTCTCTTTCTCTGTCCTTCCCTCCCTTTCTATCTGAAAATCAATGGAGAAATATCCTTGGGTGGGGATTAAATTAAAAAATATATCCAGCATAAATTTTGTGGTCTTTGCTTTCCAGAGGGTTCAAAACCACCTTCAGAAAATCTACAAACACACATAATTGTCAACAACTGAAAGTTTAAAGGAGTTTGAAGGAGAATAAGATGACCATGCATCTCTCTGTTTTAAAGGCCTCAAGGGCTTTTCAAGGCTACAATTAAATGTGGCTTGTTGTATACTGACTAATAGAGGAGATCTGAATTATTCCCAGCTGGTGCTGCACTAAACCATTTCTCATTAGAATTCCTTTTTCTAGACAGAGCGATGCAAGCTCTGCTGCCAGGTAAATGTCCTGGGAGAAATTGTCCTATCGCGAAACAGATCAGAAAGTAAATTTTCATTTCACAGAGGAGTCCCTGGGGGAACATTTTAATTTTACTTCTGAAAACACACCTAGTATATCCTCTTCTCTTCTGAAAAAATCTCCCCCCTCCTTCTCTTATACACACACACACACGCACACGCAAACACACATGCACACACACAGAGTCTATAATCAGGCTCTTGTTTAAAACGTACCCAAAGAGGAATAACGAATAAGAAGGTACCTCATCATCTGCCTGCCGCAGCCGGGCCACAGCATAGCGCCTCACTGTTGGGTTGGTGTAATGGGAGGACAACAGCTCCAAGGAATCTTCTACATCCATTGGCTTCCATTTCCCCAGCAGTTCCAATGCCTGCTTGGCCTCCTGAGGTAGATCCCAATTAACACATTTCAAGAACTTTGTCAAAGCCTAAAATAAAAAAAGATTTTAAAATTAGAAACAACAGCCTATTACCTGGGGGTAGGGAAAGTCAAGGGTGACTGGGCAGAGTTCCACGCAGTCCTGATGGAAGAGATGCAGAGTCAATGACAGACGCCTTACACCAGTGGTTCTCAACCTGTGGGTCGTGACCCCTCTGCGGGTGGAAAAACCCTTTCACAGGGGTCGCCTAAGACCATCAGAAAACACTTATTTCCGATGGTGATTCATAACAGTAGCAAAATTATAGTTATGAAGTAGCAACAAAAATAATTTTATGGTTGGGGGTCACCACTACAGGAGGAACTGTATTAAAGGGTCGTGGCACTAGGAAGGTTGAGAACCACTGCCTTACACTAAACAAAGTTCCACATTCCATCCTAAGAAAACAATGCAGGGCAGAAAAATAAAAAAGCACGTTGCTTATCACTTTACAGATCAAAATTCTTTCAGAGCACTATGAATTTTTAAAATTTTCTTTGGCTTTTCTTCACTATGCTTTTGTTATTTTAAAATGTTTTTGTTATTTTAAAATACTGTGGGCCTCAAGACATAGATGAGACATGTCTCATGCACTCTCAGATGCCTTTGAGATGACCTTCATTTTACAACATCTGCTAGTGACTTAAAAAAAAATAGCCAATAAGTGAAAGTCTGAAGCCAAAGGGTCGACTCCACACCACTAATCCCGGTCTTGAACAATCCTCCAGAGTCACTGGGTTTTCTAGATACTTAAATAAATTGATTATGTTATATCTCTCTTCACAGAAACAATCAAACAAAAACTCCACAAAAACAAGCATAAACATAGATAAACACAGAACAGTAGCAAATACACTGACTCAGCTAACTATAGCATCTTCCTGGAAGCTCACTTCTTTAGATAGATAGCATACTGAAGTTTTCACCAGACTGGCAGGTAAGTAAACTACCTTGGAGCATGTCACTCAGGACTGCATACATAATAAATGCTCTCCATCAGGCTGTGGTCCAGAGAGACCCGGGTTCGGTTCCCGCTAAGGGCACCAGTTTGTCCCCAGCCCTGGTTGGGTCACGCGGGTGGCAGCCACTCGATGTGTCCCTTTCACATCGATGTTTCTCTCTCTCTCTTCCTCTCTCTCCCTCCAACACTATCTGAACAAAAAATGGAAAAAAAAAAAGTCTTCAGGTGAGGATTAAAAAAATAAAAATAAAAAAAACATAATAAATGCTCTCTAAAGAAAGGTACTTGTAAAAAACTCAATTTTTCCAGGAAGTTTTCGGTAACTTTCAGCTCTTCCTTTAGTAGCTGCCTTAATCTCATTACCTTCATTTAAATTATGCTCTTCCAACTGCCAAATGCTTTTGAGGGCATTCTTATCTCTAAAACTGGAGTCTGCATTCCCCAAGGATAGCTATCCATGTCTTCCAAACCACCTGGACATTGTTTAGTACAGTGTTTCCTCTACAAATAAGAGCACATACTGCCCTAGTAACAGTCCATGCAATTATTTTTCACTTCTAAAATGTATTTCTAAGTTGAATGTGGAAACAAAGCAATATTTCTTAAATAACTACAGTGAAAGGTTTTCCATTTCATAGCACATCCACAGCCTTGATAGAAAAGTGTGGCTATGTGCTTATTTTAAGCAAATTGTGCAGCATGCTGATATACTCAGTTCAATGACCGAGACAAACTAACTTCCAGATTCTCAGATTTATAAACTCATTATTAAGATTTATAGCGTACACCACTGCCAAGACACTTAAGGCACTGGACAAAGATTTCCACAACCTTATAACGTTAAATGTTACAAAAGTAAACAAGGAGGGGAGGTAGTAGAATGAATACGAAACAAAGAAGAGAGGAATGATAAAGACAAACAGTATAAGAAACTGAAGACAATAATATTAATGACGATGATTCATCTTAAATCTTTTAAAGATGCTGTTTTGATCTATGTAAAGGTCCAGGAGTCAAACGGAATGTTATCGCTAGGCTTCACTGGAGTACACATACAGGCTTCAGAGCCAGTGTGTTAGGTGTCAAATTCTAACTCCCGGCTCCATCAATTATTAACTGAGTCATTTGGAGCATATTATTTAACTTTTAAATAACCAATTTCATTAGGTTGTGGTGAAAATTAAGTTATTGAATACAAATGTTTAGGACAGTACCTTGAACATAATAAACACTTGATAAATGTTAATTATTTTATTATCCAATATTACTGTGATTCTATTTCTGATGTTGAATCCAACATCAAATGTTAACTTTACCAACATATTACCATGTTTTATAATAACAGCAATGAACATTTTTGTTAACCTCCCTTTGATCTCAGAGTCACCTCACTGGTACCTCCTATTCTTACATAAGCACAATCACTTTAGAGTTGAAAATAATTTTATCATACATATTTCTAATTTTAACTTCTACCAGCTCAGTTACTGAAAAGTTCTACTTTGTTGCTAAAGAAAAACCTATTCCTCTACTCAAGATACGTATACCAAACACGAGTCTTCTACACCATCCAACCCCCTAATTCTCTGAGGACACCAACTTGGTGTCCTACAATTTCATTTAATGCTGACACTAACCACCTGGAGTCAGTGGAGATTCCAAGACTTAAGCGGCCAGTCTTACAAGATTACTTCCCATTTCAGATGACAATTCTGGGTCCCTAGGTTGCCCAGACTTCTGTCTGACTTGGCTACAAATCCAGGGTTTCTCACAACACCTTCCTCCGGTTCGATAATTTGCTGAATGGCTCACAGAACTCAGAAGTGGTAAACTGTAAAGGACACAAATGAACAACCAGATGGAGAGGTGTACTGGGAAGCTCTGGAGGAGTCCAAAGCACAGAACTTCTGTCCCCAGACAGTCTGAGGGGCCACCCTCCTGTCACATGGATGTGTTCACCGACCCAGAAGCTCTATGAACCCCACCACTACTGGTTTTTATGAAGGTTCCATTACATAGGTACAATTTATTAAATCACTGGCCACTGACCAGGGGGTGGGGCTGAAAGTTCCAGCCCTCTAATCATAAGGCTGGTTCCGCTGGCAATCAGCCCTGTCCTCCAAGAGCCACCTCATTAGCATAAATTCAGGGGTGGTTGAAAGGAGCTTATTACAAACAACAAAAAATGTTCCTCTTCATCCCTACTACTCAAGCAATTCCTAGGGTTTTAGAAACTGTGCCAGGAACCAAATACCAATTATACTGCAATATCACAGTTGTTTGTATTATTTCAATTCAAAAATGAAATCATATCCTCACCTTGCTCCTTCCTCTTGCCCTATTTCCTTATTTCAGGCACTCAGGCCTGAGGCCTGGGAGATGTCTCCAAGCCACTGTGCACATTCTCCTCTCCTTCCCTTGCCTTCCAACTTAGCTCTCAAAATCAGTACGCTGAGTCTTCTAATTATGTCACTTTCTTTCATTCTCAGCTCTGCTCCAGTCTGTCCTGGTTTGCCTGCCTTAAAACATCACTTGTTAAGACGCATTCCATTGCTTTAGTGGTTTCCCATTGCCAGTGAAATCCAACTCCCAGTCACAGAATCGGAGGCTCATCACAAGCCGACTCCACCTTTTCTATTTCATTACCATTCATGGATGGCTCAGAGACTTTCTGTCTCTTAACCTAACCCTTTGCCTTACTCATGCTTTTCTTCCCCACGAAAAATGATCACCACGTAAAAAAAAAACAAAAAAAAAAACCACCTCGAAACCTTACTCAAACTGGAAGACCAGTCTTTGCTCTGTGAAAACTCCTTCATATCACAAACACTGACTGACCTGTTCTACTCCACAATTTTATAGTAATTCCCTAAATGCTTACTGAGAGTAACCCTCAATCAATTACTATCCTGTGCTTTTGCATTTTGACTGTACATAAATATCCTTTACTTAAAATAGTTTTAGTTTATATGAAGACAGAGAAATGATATCTTAAGCCCATAGTTTCCAATAACAACTAGGTAAAGAGTTGATAACGAATGTTTGTTGAACTGAATTCACTCCCACTATGGTTTGCCACCAACCTTCTGTCAGGACGAAACACATGCTCTGTGTCCTGACAGTGCAGCTGTCACTGTCTCAGTAGCTAATTCTGAAGCAGCCTCTTCAGAACATTCAGTGTATCACTAATACCTTCCCCATAGGTGACTCTTCTTACTGCCTTTTCCTCCCAAACATAATGGGAAGGCATTAAGTAAACATAATAGTTAAGTAACATAAGTAACATAATAGTTATTTTTAATTAACAGTTTTATAAGAAGAAAGGTCATTCGTTTACCATGGTAAAAGCTAGTTTCAAAAAGTTACAATATTCACATTTGGGGTTCCATAAAAATGAGTCACTTCTTAAATGCTATGGACCACAAATCTTAAAATACTTCATAAATGTAACTGGTTTTGTTGGAAAAAGTTATTACTGTGCACTTTCTAGGTACAACATCAAGTCTAAGCTAGAGGGTTTTCATTCAAAGAACTGAAGCCTGGGTGTACCAGCAAGCCCTGTAGAGAAAAATAGGTAGAAGGATGAAATTTAATTAAAAAATAAGGAAGTATAACTTTGTAAGAACCAAACTTCCACCAATTTGTTTTCTAAGCACTGCTTTCTCTCCAGAAAATCTTTTTAGCCTCAGGGCCCCAAGTGCCAAATAACCTAAAGCACTGTTCCTAGGAAATCGACATTCTTCGTGTAAATAGATTAAGGGACAAGGGCGCAAGAGTATTTGTTTTCTACAAAACCCATTTTAAATTATTACAAAGATACAAATGTGGCTGTGTGAATAAGCTCTCTGGTCACTTCAAGGCCAAATATATTGAAAAGTGCTTTGCAAACATTAAAAAATCGTCCACTCGACCCCAGTGATCGTAAGAATCCTATAATGTGTCCTGAGAATGGAAGTTTCATCACCCACTTTGCGAGAACTTGAAATCAACTAGTTAAATGAAACTTGTCACACACTTTATATCACTTGAGCATTTTATTTCCTTTGCACATATCTAGAAGTAATCGAATTTCAGTGGGAAGTGACTACTTTTTAAACAAACCATTTTTCTTGCAAGCCCTTCTATCTAAGGCAGTTCTGCTCTGTAAATCTATTCTATGCTCCTTGAGCCTCTACATTCTAACAGTTTAATTCAATATATTGCTGTGTATTTTAGACAAGACTGTGCTGCATTCAAAATACAATTTCTGTGACCAACGTTATTCTTCATTTAACAGAGTATCACATCCTAACTCATTTTTTTATATAAAACACAAAATCACAAACCTGTGATTCTACCGATGAATATTTCCTTTTTTTGTGATGAAGAGAACAACACTCAAAGCTACAGTGAATTTAAAATTCTTCTCTCGTTCTTGTTATGGATATAAAGAGAACGAAGATGATCCAACTACAAAGAATTTCCAAAGGCCTCAATAAAGATAAAGATTAAAAGCTGAAGAGTTAGGATGAGCTGCAACTGTATTTTTATCTTTATTTTTGAAATGAAGAAAATATAATTGTTTCAGAAAGGCAAGTTAAAGCAACTAAAGACCATCTCATGAGATTGTAAAATATATTTATTCATTCTCACATAATTACAGAAGAGCCTTCTAACAGACATTAATTTTCCTTTGCTTCTCTGTTTTGCCCCAAATGCATTTCATAATTTCTGCTAAGGCATACGCATGATGCTGCAAATATTTCTTCTACAGTCCTCTTTTTTTGTCGTCACTGACTAATTCTAGTCTAACCCATAGATGTGAGCATATCTAGGAGAAGCGTTGATAAGCATTGTGATTCTGCATAGGTTCCTTCATCTAAGACTCAATCTTCCTCATCTGTAGAACAGTAGCAAAAACACTAAATTGTGGGGTTGTTGTGGGATATAAAAGATCCCTGACATAAATGGCTGTTTAATAGGTACTGGATATTATTATCCTATTTTAAGAGTCCTTGAACCAATGTTCTAAGAATTTACAGTCTATTTTAAGAATAAGAAGAGACTTAAAGTTCACTATCATTTAATCAACTCATAGTATATATGAGGAAATTAAAGCTTACACAGGTAAAGTAATCTGCCTGCAGTAAAAGCTTCTTAGTAGCAATACTAAGACTCAAAACCAAGCCACAGACTCAAGTCTAGGGTGACTACTTCATCATAATTCTGTCTCTCTAGAGACTTTATCTACTTCTTGGTTTCACTATGGAAAGCAAATGTCTAGTTCTGACCTAGCCTCTATCCTGCACTCCAAGCTGGCTGTCACTCTAACAACTCAATTTACACATTTTAAATTACGTTTCTCTCTACCCATACTTTCTTCAGAATTCTATAGTTCCTTTAATAATGTAGATACTGTGATAGTAAATCTAGGATCAAAGAAGTGAGAAGAAAGAAACGTATCACAACATTTACTCTGTACCTACTATACACCAGGTAATCAGGCAGGTTATTCACCTGTATTTTCTCACCTGTGAAGGAGGGTTTTACAAAGCAATTTGCCTCACCTTACCGGACCTGGTAATAATAAGTTGTAGTGCCAGAAACTAACCCCACGTCTCTATTAACTACCCCATAGAGTCACTGTTTACCTATCAACAAAGCAGGTATGTGTCTTTGTGTGTATACCTCTGTAGTTTTTTTAAAAAATGAAGTATCATATATACATATTATTCTATAAACATTATAAAAACATGACAAGACCTCTATATTTCCAAGGCATTTTGCCTACTCTTGTGCACTAGCAACATACTTTGTAGATACATTTAATATATGAAAACGTTCAAGAAACTTACTTTTTCTTGGTTAGTAAGATAATATCTAAACTTCCAAACAAGATCTTGTTCTTCATATGTGAGTTGCTTAGTTGGTGGATAACTCACAATAATCTACAACAACAACAACAAAAAGACAATAAATAAGTACATATTAATAATCACCTTAAATTTAAATGGATTGAATGCTCCCATAAAAAGACACAGAGTAGCTGATTGGATAAGAAAGCATGACTCATCTATATGTTGTTTACAAGAGACCCACCTCACAACAAAAGACTCACAAAGGTTGAAATTGAAGGGATGGAAAAAAATTTTCCAAGCAAATGGAAAGCAAAAAAAAGCTGGGGTAGCAATACTCATATCTGATAAAATAGATTTCAAAATGAAGAACAGGAACAAGACAGGGATGTCCACTCTCACCACTCTTATTTAACATAGTACTAAAAGTCTTAGCCACAGCAATCAGACATGAAGAAAAAAGTAAAAGGGATCCAAACTGGAAAGGAGGAAGTGAAACTGTCATTATTTGCAGATGACATGATATTATACATAGAAAACCCTAACGACTCCATCAAAAATCTACTAGACTTAATAAATGAATTTGGAAAAGTAGCAGGATACAAAATTAACGTCAAGAAATCGACGGCATTCTTGTACACCAATGATGAACTCACAAAAAGAGAAACTGAAAAAACAATCCCATTTACCATCATGCCAAAAAAATTAAGATACCTAGGAATAATCTTAACCAAAGAAGTAAAGGACCTATTTGCAGAAAACTACAGGACATTGAAAAAAGAAATAGAGGAAGATATAAAAAAAAGTGGAAGCACATACCCTGTTCATGGATCGGAAAAATTAGCATCATTAAAATGTCCACACTACCCAAAGCAGTCTATAGATTCAATGCAATCCCCATCAAAATACCAACGAAATATTTCACAGAACTAGAACAAATACTTCAAAAGCTCATATGGAACCAAAAACATCCCCAAATAGCCACAGCAATTTTGAAAAAGGACAAAGTAGGAGGGATCACAATACCAGATATCAGGTTATACTACAAAGTGACTGTAATCAAAACAACCTGTGATTGGCACAAGAACAGGCATATAGACCAGTGGGACAGAACTAAAAACCCAGAAATGGACCCAAGGCAATACTCTCAATTAACATTTGACAAAGGAGGCAAGAGCATACAGTGGAGTAAAGACAGCCAATTTAATAAATGGTGTTGGGAAAATTGGACAGCTACATGCAAAAAAATGAAACTAGACCATCAACTTACACCATACACAAAAATAAAATCAAAATGGATTAAAGACTTAAATGTGACCCGTGAATCCATAAAAATTCTAGAAGAAAATGTAGGCAACAAAATTTCGGACATCATACGGAACAGAATTTTCACTGATACATCACCTAAGGCAACAGAAACAAAGGAAAAAATGAACACATGGGACTACATCAAACTAAAAAACTTCTGCACAGCAAAAGAAACAATTATCAAAATGGAAAGGCAACACACTGTACAGGAGAACATCATTGCCAATGATGTATCAGATAAGGGGTTAATTTCCTATATATATAGAGAGAGAGTGCTCATACAACTCCACAAAAGGAAGACAAAGAACCCAATTAAAAAATGGGCAGAGGAGCTGAATAGACACCTCTCCAAACAGGACATACAAATGGCCAAGAGACATATGAAGAAATGTTCAACATCACTAATCATCAGAGAGATGCAAATTAAAACAACAATGAGGTATCACCTCACGCCTGTCAGAATGACCACCATCAACAAATCATCAAACAAAAAGTCTTGGCAAGGGTGTGGAGAAAAGGGGACTCTAATACACTGCTGGTGGGAATGTAGACTGGTGCAGCCACTATGGAAAACAATATGGTGTTACCTCAAAAAATTAAAAATTGAACTTCCATTTGACCCAGTGATCCCGCTTCTAGGAATATACCCTAAGAAGCCTGAAACACCAATCAGAAAGAATATATGTACCCCCATGTTCATAGCAGCACTATTTACAATAGCTAAGATCTGGAAACAGCCCAAGTGTCCATCAGTAGACGAATGGATAAAAAAGCCGTGGTACATATACACAATGGAGAAGAAAGAAAGATCTCTTATCCTTTGAGACGACATGGAGGGACCTGGAAAGTATTATCCCAAGTGAAATAAGTCAAGCAGAAAAAGACAAATACCACATGATCTCACTTATATATGGAATATAATGAACATAACAGTCTGTGGAATACGGTAGACCCAGAAAGTAGGGCACAGACTGACATCCCTCAGAAGAGGGGGTGAGGGTGGGGGGTGGAAAGAGATAAACCACAGAACTTATATGCATGAATGCATGACCAATGGACATGGACAACTAAGCCAGGGATGGGGCGGGGGTGGGGTGGGGAGGGGGTTGCCAATGGGGTAAAAAAGAAGAAAAATCTGTAACAACAACAAAAAAAATTAAAAAAAAGAAAAGAAAAACTACTTTTGTCAAATATATTCTTCCCATATATTTCCATTTCTTTTAAAAATTTTCATTTATTTAAATATTTCTATTATGGAACTACTAAGGAAGCAAGGGGAATGTAAGACATAAATTTACTGTTCTTATCTGTCCAAAAAGGATATTATTAGGGTGAAAAGGGGAGAAAGAGAGAGATGAAAAAGTCATCCTCCATATAAGTATGTAACTACAGAGTTAATTTAATACAACCAAAAATGAAACAAATGAAAATAACTAAAGCCTCCCCCCTCAAACAGGAAAAATCCCAACAATACATGTTTCTCTCATCATGTCGATATGCACAATGATGCATGTCTGCAAACCAAGGCCTCTTCTCAGGCAACCCACCTTAGGACCAGTATCTAAGAGCACTATGTTGTGAAAGTATACACTATTTGTAGCTCTGTCTCCAGAATGAATACATTTACTAAAAGCCCCAAAATAATAATACAACTACGGAAATTTAAAACTTTTGCAGTTACTTTGGGTTCATTATCCTGGGGGGAAAAATATCTCACAAAAAAACACAAAAATATCTCAATTGCGTTTAAGTGAAGTAGTATCACATCCATTGTAACCAAAATACCCACTTAATTATTTTTAAATTAATATTTTATAAATTCTTACGTTTAATTGATCTCTTGTGGCAGCATTAGGTTTGAGATCATGGTCAGAAGGTCCACTTCTTAAACTCCGGGCAAGCTTGTGGTGTTTGCTCTCAACCAAGTTCTCCTATTAATTATTTTAAAATATTATTCAACAATGCAAACTTCACCAAAAGAAAGTTTCAATAATCAGTTAGAAATAGAAAAGTAAATAGCTAATTAAGACCATTTTCTAATACTTAATATCTTATTTTAGTTACAACTTGAATCTCCTACATGTTTTTAAAACACATCACCATTCTGAGATAAAGAAACTAAGCTTTATGCTTCACTAGTGCCGTAACATGCACCTACCGGTCCAGCTTCTTAAAACATCTACCCCTCATCTTCCAGGCATTCAAGGTTTTTATATCCTCTCTCCACTCAAATGCCACCTTCTCTCTAAGATCTTCCCTGATAACCCACACTAAAGTATTGCTCCTTTCTAGGAGCTACTAATACCTTGTGATACATTGTAGTACTATCATCTTAGCAGTTTAACTTCTAATAGTAACTTGAGGGCAGAGACAATAACATAATAATTAAATATACATATTTGGTGTTGACTATTTTACCTATAGTCAAAATGTTTTAAACATACTGTCTTTGCTTAAGAGACTTTTTATTTTTGCATGTGTGAATTGTCTGTTCGTGTCTTTTCCTAATTTTCAATTGGCTTTTGGTCCTTTGTTTTTCAGAATTTAAGAGTTCTTATATATTAGGTATTTGGCCCTTTGCTATGTAGGTCACAGACAATTTCTCCCAATTTATTAATTGTCGTTTGACTTTGTTTTGGTGTTTTTGCCATGCAGTCAATATTTTTAATATAGTCAAATTTATCAATCATTTCTTTTCCAGCCTCTGGATTTTGACTCACCATTTGGAAGTTTTTCCCTGTGCTGAGAGTAAAGTACAGGTAAAATTTAATTTTTTAACATTTAAGTCCCTGATTCATTAGGAGTTTTTCCTTATGAATGGTATGAAGTATGGATCTAATTTAATTTTATCTTTTCCAAATGTCTAATCAGTTCCCCAGCACTATACTTCAGGGATGACATGCCACTTTTATCATATGCTAATTTCCATATTTACTTGGATCTATTTCTGGGCTTTTTATTTGGTTCTACCAGTCCATCTGTACATGTACATGTGCTAATATCGCACTTGTAATTATAGTAGCTCTACAGATTTACCTGACATTTTGGTAGGAGATACAAAAGTTAACACCTGTGATCCCAATATGACAAAATATGTTGAGTCTTGGTCATTTTGAAGGTAACCACAAAGTACATCTATTTATGTGTTTCAAAATCCAGAATGTAAAATATACTTCGATTTTATAGTGAATATTCAGTTTGTCAAATTTAGACATATTGACTCAATTTTATTATGCTACGCATAGGCTCTGTGAAGGTATTAGGGTGTTTGTTTCTAAAAGATTCCCAAGTGACCTTCATTTTCTAATCTTTTGTACCGTTTACCCCCTTCTCTTCCTCTGATGTTAGGTCTTTAGTCATTACTTCCTGCTTCAATGACCTGTATTTACCTCAGTCATCATGTGGCTACTTTAAATCAAACCTGGTCTGATTAGAAAGGTAACTAATCTAATTACAAATGGTTCAGAGTGATGTAAATGAGTTATAAGCATAAACATTATGATATCTATTATGTGTCAAAAGGATTTTTTGCCTGGAACTTTCTATATCCAAAGTCATCGAAGTAAAGTTCTGCTGCAAAACAGGAATTCTTACTGCTCTTTGCATCCGAAAGAACTCTCTCAAAAGTTCAACAGGGAGTCACCTCCAGGTGATCCAAGACATCATGATTCAAACTGAAGAGTTCTAGTAGCTACAATGATCTGCCTTATGTTGCAACCTAAAATTTTCATCCATCGATCCTTTCACATCCTGGTATAAACCGATTCCCCTTCAGAATGATGACAATCTTTCAAACACAAGCATACTTTGTTTTATTGCGCTTCACTTTATTGAACTTCAGATATTGCAGGGTTTGTTTTTCATTTACTGTTTGTTTTTTATTTTGTTTTACAAATTGAAGGTTTGTAGCAACTCTGAGTAAAACAAATCTCTAGGCACCATTTTCCAATAGCATTTGCCCACTCTGTATCTCTGTTACATTTTAGTAATTCTCGCAATATTTCACACTTTTTCATTACTATTATATTTGTTATAGTGGTCCAGAATCAGTGATCTTTGATGCTACTATTATAATTGTTTTGGGGTGCCTCAAACCCACTTCACAGGACAGCAAACTTAATTGATAAATAATGTAAGTGTTCTGACTGTTCCACGGACCAGCATTCCCCATCTCTCTCCTTCTCTTCAGGCCTGAGACACAACAATATTGAAATTAGGTCAATTAATAACCCTACAATGGCCTCTAAGTGTTCAAATGAAAAGAAGATTCACACATCTCTCAATTTTAATCAAAAGCTAGAAATTATTAAGCTTAGTGAGGAAGGCATGTCAAAAGCTGAAATAGGCCAAAAGTTAGGCCTCTTGTACCAATTAGCTAAGTTGTGAAGCAAAGAGAAAGTTCTTCAAAAATATTAAAAGGGCTACTATGGTGAACCCACAAATGGTGAAAATAGCTCTCCTGCTGATATGTAGAGTGTCAGTGGTCTAGATGGAAGATCATACCAGTTACAACATGCCCTTAAACCAAAGTCTAACCCAGAGTGTGGCCCGAGTTCTCTTCAATTCTACGAAGGCTGAGGGAGGTGAAGAAGCTGCAGAATACAGTTTAAAGCCAGCAGAGACTGGGAAACCAGAGAATTCGTGTGACTTGCTTTATTGCAATAACTGCTTTATTGTGGTGGGGTGAAACCAAACATGAGGTATCCCCATGGTGGGCCTGCACCTGTTCTTCCAAGTCCTCGCTACATGCCCTGGCTCTTTCAAGAATCCACAAAATGGCGCCCAACACTACACTGACCTTATTTTTACATGTTAATATTTCTTGTAAAATCCCACCTGAACTTGATTCCAGATAGCTGAAGTGGATTTATAAATCACTTTTAAATAACTGAGGTACTGATAGCCATACTTTTTAAAAAGAAAGTACATGATGTCGATCTGTCATAATCACTCTGGACTGAAGCATTTTCACAAAAAATTTGATAATAACTCACCATGGACATTTGAGGGTCAGGAACTTTCACTATCTCAAAGCTTGTTAAAATTGGAGATGACTCATCACCATCCTGGATTATAGTGTAATAAATTTTGAAAAAAAGAAATAAATAAAATTGAACCAAATGGCAAAAAACAATACATGATAATGTATACTCAAATGTATTTTAATTCTATTTAATGAGCATCTTTCCTTCCTTTCAAAAATGAATCTTCTTTCAACTACATTTAAAAATACATTTTTGTTGTTGTTGTTAATCCTCACCCAAGGATATTTTTTTTTCATTGATTTTTAGAAAGTGGAAGGGAAGAAGGGAGAGACAGAGAAACCCTGATGTGAGAGAGACACATCAATTGGTTGCTTGCTGCACATGCCCTGATCAGGGCCAGGGATCGAACCTATAATCCAGGTACGTGTTCTTGACTGGGAATTGAACCCGTGACCCTCTGGTGAGTAGGGTGATGCTTTAACCACTGAGTAAAACCGGCCAGGGCAATACATTATTTTTTTACCTTTTGTTGCTGATGAAATATTTTGAGAAAAATGAAATCTAACAATAAAAATCAGTAATACAGTTTTTAGAGATATGAGGTCTGAAAATCAGCAGATGGTTTTTATCTTTTTTTAAAACTCTGTTTATAATAACAGGTGAAAAAGAATATGTCCAAAATATCAAACTCAGAATAAGAAACCACAGAACTAATCAAAATATTATACAATGGGTGAGTTGTATCACTTGCAAAAACTACTAACTAGATGCTGGTAACTTCAAATTATAACAATTGAGTTCCATTCAAAGAAGTAGAATTTTAGGTGTGGGGTTCATGTTATTCAAGTTTATATACAGCTAGAGACTCAGCAGCATTACTTCTCAGAGGGATTTCTACTGCACACAATGCAAACTTGAATAATGAGAATTAGTCCACCAACTCTTAAGAAATAAAGCTGTCGCCTTGGCCGGTTTAGCTCAGCAGTTAAAGCATAAGCCCTTAGACCAAAGAGTTGCAGGTTCGATTCCAGTCAAAGGCATGCATCTCGGTTGTGGTTTGGTCCCTGGCCCTGGTCGGGTCATACAGGAGGCAACCAGTCGATGTGTCTCTCACATTGATGTTTCTCTCTCTTTCTCTTTCTCTCCCTCCCTGCTACTCTAGCTGAAGATAAATGGAAAAATATCCTCAGGTGAGGATTTAAAAAAAAGAGAAAGAAAGAAAAAAACAAAAGAAATAAAACTGTCTTGTTGATACTACCATTTTTTAAGAATCTCGGCTTTTATTTTGATCCAATTCAGGCAAGAAAGGCAATTTAGTGTAATAAAATATCACTGCATACATACTAGAAAAACTAAACAAATTAAGATAGAAGTTCATTTCCTCACAATTGTACACCTAGCATCAAGTTTTTCTGTCCATTTCCAAACACTACCATAATTCCAATTTTAGACATGTGCAACAAAACCAGGCAACTGAAAGCAGGGAATATTGTGACTTTACTTAGTTCAGTAATTGAGTCTTAGAGAAAACCACAAATTCCCACCGCTGTTGTTTAACAGGCTGGTTCTCAGTCACAACACCAGAAAGCACATTTATCAGCCCAAGTGTGACAAGTAATCTTCGCTAAGGCTATCTGTCACAAAAGACAGGTGACAAGAAAGTCTATTTCCATTAGATTCAATACACTGGCCCAGCGATCTTTACACTAAGTGGAAATATGACAGGATAGGTACACAGGCATTTATTTATGGGCAATTTTTCAAGAAGCAATAGAAAGGGGTCAAGAACCTTTTGAAAAATACTTGAAATTCTTCTAATTTCTATTCTGTTATTATTTCATCTATTATCAAAACTGTCTTTCAAAAGACCCTTCACATCTCCAATGTTGTAAATTACCACCTCCATCAGCATTTTTTTTGCAATATAGATTCCATACGGGCAAGGAGTACTGCTTCTAATGAAATTACATATGGCATAAAGAGTAAAATGTAATTTTATTAAAATGTATTGGTGACAAAATTTCACTCACCTACATTTTCCTCTCTTTATAAGGTCATTTTTCTAATGCATTCATAAACAATCTATCTTTCTATCTCCCTTTTTCCTCAGGAAATATTTCTAAAGTAAAAAGCTGAAACAAGTTAATGTTTCCTAATATTTTACTAAAAAGAAGAAATATAAGTTCAAAGGAAACATGAATATTAACTTGAAAAATACAGAAGTGATCATAAATTAACTACACAAACCCTATACCTTCATTATAAAAACATCTTTCAAATAATAATTTATAGTTATAAATATATACATATTTTAAAATCACTTGTGACGGCTTAACACACTAAAGTTATAATGTGATTTAAAAGTGCCACTTCTAATGAACAAATATACTGCATATAAGCTTAGCTAAATGCTAGAAAAAATATTATTCTATTATGCCATGTATCAAAAGTCTGTTTTAATTCACACTGATTTAAGCATTTGTCTTAGTATTATCTACAATGATTGCAGGTACATGGTTTATGTTGTTTTGAACTATGCATAAAATTATTCCTGTCATACTTAAATAAAGACCCTTTAACAAGCATTTAAGGCACAGACATTTTCTAGTAGCTACATACACCACTTTTCTTTTGCATAGTGAACAGACCAGAGAAAATTCAGAATTGTATACATTATCACTCAGCCTACTGATAACATAATTTTCTTAATTCTGCATATATTGTATAAATAAATACTGATTTGTGAAGTCTTTCATAAGCATACTTATGTTTGGTCACATATAAAATTCCAATACATTATATATGTGTGTGTGTATATTTTTTTTTCAGATAATAAGCAATCCTTAATTTACAATAGCTTATCACTTAAAAATGTATGATTCCCTCATTTTATTTTTCAAATGAATTTTAATTGTTAATAAAGCTATTACTGTAATATCCTACTTGCCAATTTTCAGAACAATTAATCAAAAAGTTTTCAATCTCTTGCATATTTATGGAATTCTGTAACCCAAAACTGCATTCCATGAATGATTGGCTTTTGTAATCTTGTGGCTACATGACGTGATTTGTGCATACATAAACAGCTGCTGCTGACAGCTGTCTGCTGCTATCCTGCAACCAAATCATTCATGTCAGCAGGAACGACAGTAATTTTTTTTAATGTTTCCTCTTCCCTCTACTTCAGAGACCATAACAGTTCCAAGGCAAATACCTTTTCATAATAAACAATACCATATTCCTTATCATCGCACTTGACACAGCGAAATTCAACCATCAAGTACATGAAATTAGAACTTCGTTTTTCACTCTAAAAAAAAAAAAATTTATGAAAAATAATCATCTTCAACATTCTCATAAAGGATCAGTATGTATCATTATTTCCAATTCAGTAATACATGTATCTATCAGGTGCAACTTAAAATGTAACACATTTTCATTTCATAGTATAAATGCACTGTTTCATATAGCACTACTATCATAGCATGTACTATGTACTATTACCCTGTACTGTCCAACTCCCTCCTAAAACTCAATGACACTGGTTATTTATTCAGTAATTTAGATTTTATCATAAAAAATATTGATGTCTTATATACACTGCATAAGAACTATTTAATTTCAAATATAATGATGTTTTGGACTTCTAACAATTTTAAGTAAAGAACAGTTTACCCTTAAACCACATGACTACTCTAACAATTAGTACAAGTGTGACAAAAACAGAAGTTAAACAAAGTGTGTAACGAAGGACTGAGGCTATTTGAACTTAACAGACATAAATTTCTAAGTTTTAAAAATTTATAAATGGTCTTGAGATGCCATGCAGTCATTTATAAATTTTAATCAATTTCTTAAGTATACTGGAAAATAGTTACTTCTTCCTTAACATAAAAAATGTCAATTCTGTGTATAAATTTGTCCCCTTCAAAAAACAGGAAATATTATGTTAATAAAGAAGTGAAAATTAAGAGAAGTCTAAAAAGGTGATTAGTCTTGACCCAAAACAATTTTTAAAGTGGTTTTAAATCTACATGTATAAAACCATATCAAGGTTTAATGACATCACTTAAATTGTTCAGCTTTATAAAACATATTATACTCAATTATAGTAAGTAATGGTCTCCTATCTTTTAAGGAGTGGGGTGGGAGAATGAGAAGGGCCAGGCAAAATAAGCCCCAAGGTTACATTTTCTATCCTAGGGAACCTACGCTGAAAAATAAAAAAAAAATAACAGTGAAGCACTTTGATTAAACTATTTTTGGAATGTGACTATTATAAAAATTCAAAAAAGTAAACTTTTTTTCCAATTTGAATATATGAGAATGTACTATCATGAATAAGTTTGAAAAAGATGCTCAGTATTCATACTGAATATAAATGGTGTTAAACACCACTAAAAATAAACAAAAAGGAACAATATCAGAATATAACTTTTACAAGCGTCAATTCCTGGTCAGGGCATATGCCCAGGTTGTGGGCCCGATCCCCAGTGGGGGGCATGCAGGAGGCAACCAATAGATGTTCTCTCTCTCTCTGATGTTTCTATCTTTCTCTCCCTCTCTATCTAAAATCAATAAAGAAAAAAAAGTTTAAAAAAAAAAAGAAAATTTTCTTTCTCTTTCCACCTCCTGAAAAGTTTTCAAAGAACAGTGATCTGTAGAACAGTGATCTATAAGCTAGGCATATAACAAAACTGTTATTTCTCTTTCCTGATGTAATTAATATAATTGTTATATCAGCTCTCTAGATACTAAATGTTAGGCCAGACATTTAGCATTTCGGTGTAAATACACAAAAGAGAAAAACTTTTTTCAGAAAGAATTTTATTGGTTATCTTTTAAGTAAACATATTCTAGACCAATACATAAAAGCCCATGAAATAAATCAACTACTTGAACCATGCGACTTTATTAAGGGTGCAGAGTCCTAAATGCAGTACCTAAGACAAGGAATATCTTAACTGGGGCAAGGAGTTGCTCAAGATGATTGGAGGTAATGAATATGAGCTGCATACAGAGAGAGAACACACAAGTGAGGCATCACACTTACAAAGGCTTCACTTATATAATATTTAGTACACTTATAATATCCAGTACTTACTTCATGATTGGTCAGAACATTAAGATACAAGAAAGGCACATATTCAAAGTTTTCCACTACACATTATTCTAATAACTCCACATTTGTGAGATACCTGGCAATAAATAATTCTTCTCAAAAAATTCTTGATTTAGATAATTGAGAGAAAATATTTAAAAATAAAAAAGAGGGATTCAACCCACCTCATTTATCATTTCAATTTCTCTAAATGTCAATCTGTCCAGCCAATCTACTTTCACCATGTGTCCTTGCCGATGGGCTTTGGTGAGCTGCAGAACAAATATAATGAAGAAAATTTTAACACAGATCTCACAGAAAGTAGGAGGAAAACAGTGATGTCCATCACCCCCTTTCAGCATCATACTGGAAGTACTAGCTAATGTAATGAGAGATTGGGAAGAAATAAAACCATCTTTGTTCACAAATGACATTATCATCTACATAGAAAATATAAAAGAATATACAACAACAACAACAAAAATCTCTCTTAGTCCTGGCCCGTTTGGCTCAGCGGTTGGAGCAATGGCCTGCGGACTAGAGAGTCCCGGGTTCGGTTCCCGCTAGGGACACATACCAAAAAAAAATATAAGAATTATTGTAAAGCTACAATATCAAGACAGTTTGGCACTGGCAAAAAACAGGCAAATATATTAATGAAAAAAAGAGTGTGGAAATAGGTCCACATAAATATAGTTAACTGATCTTTGACACAGGAGCAGAGGCAATACAATGGAGCAGTTAGTCTTTTCAACAAAAGGACTAACTAGACATCCACATACACACACACACATACAAAAGAATCTAGAAACAGAATATACATCCTTCAAAAATTAACTCAAAATGAATCACAGACCTAAATGTATAACTACACAACTCCTATAAGATCATTTCTACTCTGTAAAAGACACTGCCAGGAGATTAAGACAAGTCATTGATGAGAGAAAATATTTGCAAAAGACACATCTAATAAAGGACTGTTATCCAAATTACACAACTTACTATTAAAACTCAACAATAATAAGCAACTGGATTAAATAATGGGCCCTTAATAGACAACTCACCAAAGAAGATATACAAATGACAAACATGCTTATGGAAAGAAATTCTGCATTAAATGTGTCAGAAAATGCAAACTAAAACAAGATATCCCCAAACACCTGTTAGAATAGTCAAAATCTGAAAGACTGACATCAAATATAGCTGAGGATATGGGACAACAGGAACTCTCATTCACTGCTGATGAGGACACAAAATGATAAAACTATTTTGTGGCAGTTTTTTATAAAACTAAACATAATCTTACTATATTATCCAGGCATTGCACTCCTTTGTATTTATCCAAAGGAGTTGAAAACTTATGTTCACACAAAAACCTACATATGAATATTTATAGCAGCTTTACTCATAATTGCCAAAACTAGGAAACTAAGATGAATGAATAACTGTGGTACTCCAGACAATGGAGTATTATTTGGTGCTAAAATAAAATGCGCTATCAAGCTATGAAAATACATGGGGGGGGGGGGAAGGACATGGAGGATCTTTAAGTGCATATTACTAAGTGAAGAAATCTTATCTGAAAAAGCTACATAATGTATGATTCCAACTACGTGACATTCTGGGAAAGATAAAACTACAGAGACAACAAAAAGATAACTGGTAGCTTAAGGTTAAGAGGAGAAGGAGAGTTGAATAGGTGAAGCATAGAAGATTTTTAGGACTGTACAACTACTCTGAATTATATTATAATGATGGATATGTGTCATTATACCTTAGTCTAAGCCCATAGAATGTACAACACTAAGAGTGAACTCTGTAGTAAACCAACAACTTTGGACAATAATGATGTGTCAGTGTAGGTTCATCAACTGAAACAAATGTACCACTCTGCTGGGGAATGTTAATAGGGGGAAGACATGCATATGCAAGGGCAGGGGTACATAGGAAATTTCTGCACCTTTCTCTTAATATTGCTGTGAACCTAAAATTGCTCTAAAATTGTTATGTCACCTTCACATTTGATATGTTCCCATACATAAAAGAAACCATACACAATTATCAGGATAAGACTTCACTATCCTGATTCATCATTATGTTTTCTTAAACAAAAACAATTAAAAAAAAAATTTTTAAATATCCACAATCTGCCATCTAAATATGCCCAAAAAAAGTCATTTTCACTCACTCCAGAATTAATGTTTGTTGCTAATATATATTACTTCCTATATAGCATATTCCTAGCTTCCATGTATGAAAATGACCATTCTCAACCTTATGAATAGCAACCAAAGAACATATGGTCAGGACAGTGGTACCATAAATTGGTAAAGCCACTTTGGAGAAGTTTAAATGATTCTAGACACAGTCACATTTGTGCATCATTATTTGCAGTACTAAAAATTTAGACTTTATAAAAGGAGGGAAATGCCTATCAATAGTGGGAACTGTTACGTGAACTATAGTAAACACAGTATAAAATACTACAATCAAAAAGAAAGGAAAATCAATACACCCTGATAGGGAAAGACCAGTACAGTACAGCTGAATGCAAAATCAGCTGCAAAATGAGAGGTACTACTTACACTATGACTGTTTGTTTACGAGTCTGTTTACTGCACCAGACTCTGAGACTAAGAGCAGAACTTCTAGATATTCTTCTGCTTGAATTGGAAAGTTACTACTCAAAATGTCCCTAGCTACCGATTTGCCGGATACTATGTAGCAAAGTACCCCATATGTAGCAAAGTACCCCAAACCTTTGTGCCTCAAAACATTTATTTTATTATTTCTCTTGATTCTTCATCTTTTTGGGGGCCATCTGGATATTTTTTTCTATTGGTGCAACAGGCTCTCACGAAACAGTTGTCATTTGGTGGCGGAAGCTTCACTCACATTTCTAACACTTTTGTGGAAAAGGGTGGGCTCAGCTGGGAAACCAGGGTGGTGGGGCCTTTTTCTTTCTGCTTATCCTCTCAGTGCTGCTCCCTCTCTAGCGGTGTTGCCCACAGGGTAGTGGGACCTCTTACAGAGTGACTCATTGTTCCCCAAATTGCTAACACAGAAGCTACCAAGTTGTCTACAGAGTTAAGCCTATAACAGGCATAGCGTCACTTCAGCTGCACCGTATTGGCTAAAATGAGTCACAGGCTAGTGAAGATCAAAGGCAGAATGATATGAGTATCAGGAGGCATGTTTCCTCGAGGACCATCTTTGGCGATGACGAAGCAGAGCACCTACCTGCTGGGAAGCCCAAGCATACATTACTGACTACTCAACTGCGGAAGAGCAAAGGGAGAGGGAAGCTGGCAGAGTAATCTCTTGGATGCACTTTAAGCGGCAGGGAAAGTCTAGAATTAGTTTTCATAATTCCTAAATGATTGGCTCCTGCCTTCCTCTCCAAAATAATCTCCTGCAACTCTCCAACCGACACACTTCACTCTAACCACCCTTTTCAATTTTTCAAACCATAAAGTCTTTTACTTTTATGACTCAATGAAGATTAAATAATCAAATACTGGATAAAAATATTTTACTAAAATGTATTAAAGTTTTATAAAACTATAAAGCACTATGTAAATTTTAGCAGCTCTTGTAATTAGAGCCATAATCTATGGCACTTCATCTCTTACAAGTGCTGAGAACACTGAGACAGATTTGGGTGTTTTCATCAGTCGAGTAGCTTCTAGTTCTCTCCAGGCTGGGAACAGCTATACAAATGAAGACCAAAAATTAACTTTAACAATTTATATTTCATTTTGGGTCTGAAATGTCAGTGACCTAGATCTTTCTAAAGAGAAAATCTGCATTCTGTTAAACAGCAGGGTAAAACTAGTCCAATCTGTTTCAAATCGCATGTGAAGAAACAATCCTCACCAGGGTGCTCATCCTCAGAATAAGATGGGTCAAAAAGTCAGAGACAGTGTCATTTTTCTCCTTTTTAAGGAACACAGGTTTCTACAGAATTCACTAACTCACACAGAGCTCAGAAGAGAAGCCCACTGTCACGGAAATAACAGCATAATTATTGAGCTCTAACTTCTCCAAGAAAAACAGCAAGGGGTTTTTAAAAGCTACTTAAATAAAATAATCTGTAAGAACCAAATAACAATAAGTCCAGGAAATTGGTTGGAGTAATCATGTATTATCAGATTTAATGGGAAGACAGAAATGCTGTCTCTCAGATTAGTAGGTATTCAATACAAGTACCAGGGACAGAATTAAAAGTAGGCCAACTTGCTACACTGTATACAGACTGAGAACGGCAGGGAAAACTAATGTCACACCAAACAGTGACCCCTGGGAACAGACAGATTTCCATGATCACCACAGTTCACAAGTCATTGCTCCTTACTCGTATCTGCCCTACTGGACTATAAATTTCTTAAGTGCTAGAGCTATGAATGGTTGCTAGAACCTAGCATTTATTAGTCCAATGAATATTTTAATGTAGAGAGTGAGAGAATGGAAAACAAATGTTTATTTATTTGGAATTCCCCCCTAGAGTTTGGGGGAACAGATGAGGGAAAGGAGAAGTGAGTGATACTCAAAAAAAAGCAGAAAAAAGAACTACTCATGCCCTTGGTCACTTTTCCCTAGGACTTATATAGACAGAGGCCCACCCCATTTTTTTGCACTTCACTGTATTATACTTCAGATGTTGTGGGTTGTTTGTTTTAACAAATGGAAGGCAAAACCCTCCACCAGCAAAAAGACCATGACTCTTTTTATTGAGGTGATCTAGAACCGAACCCGCAATATCTCCGAGGTACACCTATACTCTTAACATAAGTATATATCACTTCATTGTTGTTGTAAGTTTCAAACTTCTGTCAGGTCCTCTGCTCTGGAGATAATCACAGAGTGGGACACAAAAGCAGCAAGTTCCCTTGCCCTCACAGAACTTAGAAGTAGGAAAGGGTAAGCCATTCTCATGGTAAATGCCTGTATGAGTCACTCAAAATGAAACCGTAATATGAAGGTAATGAACGGAGCTCCTGAGCAGGCCTCTCAGGCATGTAACATTTAAGCCGAGACAAACAAACAGGATGAAATCTTCCAGGCGAAGAAATAGCTTGTCTGCGGGCATGTTAGTGAGCTTGATGTGCCAGGCATTAAAGAGAGATCAGGTTCATAATCCTCAGTAAACATTTAACTTAATAAATCAAATTATCTTCAAAGTGGAGAGGAGGAAGGTCTATACATACATGAGATACTTACTAGGAATCAATTTTCTTGAAGTCATCACAATCTAGATTTTCCGTTACAGTAG